AAGGCCATTTTATTCCCATATTTATTTACTTTACTGGTTTAGTCATAATTTAGTATTTTATTTAGGTTGTTTATTTATTCTGCTCTCAATTACCAACCCAAATTCCACATGGAGTGTTCCAGATGGAAAAATAAACAGCATCTATATGGATCCTTATTAGTTTAGCTTTGCTGTTTATCTCTTGTTTTATCTTCTTTCCACCCTTTTCTTCATCAGAACAAATAACATATGTTCTGATGAAGAAAAACCATAAATTTTCAGTCAATTTAACCTCCAGATATATCTGAGCTATGGATCCATTAAGAATAGATCGTTTTAAAGCCTCCACCATTCATCTTAATGTAGGAATTAAATTCTGTTATCTATATCCTCTGTCACTATAATCATTATTATTAATGTTATCATTATTAGTATTAAATAATATTATTATTATCATAATTTCCAATTGAGTCATTGGAACACCTTATAATTATAACAAATACTTTTGTAAAATAAATTTGCATTTTTATTCCAGATCAGCTTGAGAGATATTTACTTCTTAAAGAATTGTCAATAATTTAAAAGCAAATTCAACCTAATTTATTTTTATAGAAGTTATTTTGCTCTACATGCATATAGATTTATTTACCCTTAAAGTTTAATGTAAATCTTAAGGAATTAAGGATAACAAATTAAACTTTAGCATTTAAATAATGACACAGGTCCTTGCTTATTTGAACAAATGTCCAATCATTGTTAAACAAACAAAATCTGTTCATTTGATTTAATTTTTAAAAATCTGTTTCATGACACTTTATTTGTTGTGATATTTGAACCTTATATCAATCCCCTTTATTACCAATTTAAACAGCTATGCATTAACTCTAACACATTTAACTCCTACTTTGTTTTGAAAACAGGTTAGGGAAGAGAATGAGCCACAGAAACTAGAAATTGTCCTTATTTTACAGTTTAACCTTAATTATTCCCGCATTTCTATTTTACCAAGACAAAAATAACTAAATTATCATTTCACAAATGGACAACATACAATAGAGTGGATCCACAACTATAGACAACAGATAAGACAAACTAAACACAAACAAATGGCCATAATATAAACTTTCCAATTATTTATACGCAGGTAATTTAACTCTAGTCTATAAACTATTCTGGCGTATTCTGCTGCCGTCCCTCAAAGTTAAACTTTGAAGCCCAGTAAAAAGCATTATCAATCATTTATAACTTTGTGTCAGGTGCTATTTAAGTCCTAATTCTGAAAGTTAGGATGTTTTTTTTCTTTTTTTTTTTTTATCATCCTAGATTTAAATCCATTAAGCAGGTTTTATTCTTTTTTAAACATACTTGTTTTAAATGTGCCAAAAATGATTATTATTATTTCCACTCTTTCAGAAAAATATGTCACTTTGAGTCAAATCCTCAGGAATTATTTCTTTTTTGCAAATCTGCCATTTTAGTTAATGAACTCATAGCCTTTATGTATTTTAGTTGCATTTTCCAAACTACAGCCCATATATTTGGTTAACTGTAATGTTTATTTACAGGTGCTGGTCATAAAATTAGAATATCATGAAAAATAGATTGATTTCAGTAATTCCATTTAAAAAGTGAAACTTGTATATTATATTCATACATTACATACAAACTCATATATTTCAGATGTTTATTTTGTTTAATTTTGATGATTACAAATGACAACAAATGAAAATCTCAAATTCATCATATCAGAAAATTAGAATATTACTGAAGACCAATAAAAACAAAGGATTTATAGAAATGTTGGCCAACTGAAAAGTATGAACATGAAAAGTATGAGCATGTACAGCACTCAGTATTTAGTTGGGCCTCCTTTGGCCTGTATTACTGCAGCAATGCGGCGTGGCATGGAGTCGATCAGTCTGTGGCACTGCTCAGGTGTTATGATAGCCCAGGTTGCTCTAATAGTGGCTTTTAGCTCTTCTGAATTGTTGGGTCTGGTGTATTGCATCTTCTTCTTCACAATACCCCATAGATTTTCTATGGGGTTAAGGTCAGGAGAGTTTGCTGGCCAATTAAGAACAGGGATACCATGGTCCTTCAACCAGGTACTGGTAGCTTTGGCACTGTGTGCAGGTGCCAAGTCCTGTTGGAAAATGAAATCTGCATCTCCAAAAAGTTGGTCAGCTGCAGGAAGCATGAAGTGCTCTAAAACTTCCTGGTATGTGGCTGCGTTGACCCTGGACCTCAGAAAACACAATGGACCAACACCAGCAGATGACATGGCACCCCAAACCATCACTGACTGTGGAAACTTTACACTGGACTTCAAGCAACGTGGATGAAGTGCCTCTCTTCTTTTCCTCCAGACTCTGGGACCTTGATTTCCAAAGGAAATGCAAAATTTACTTTCATCAGAGAACATGACTTTGGACCACTCACCAGCAGTCCAGTCCTGTTTCTCTTTAGCCCAGGCAAGACGCTTCTGACGCTGTCTGTGGTTCAAGAGTGGCTTGACACAAGGAATGCGACAGCAGAAACCCATGTCTTTCATACGTCTGTGTGTGGTGGTTCTTGAAGCACTCACTCCAGCTGCAGTCCACTCTTTGTGAATCTCCCCCACATTTTTGAATGGGTTTTGTTTCACAATCCTCTCCAGGGTGCGGTTATCTCTCTTGCTTGTACACTTTTTTCGACCACATCTTTTCCTTCCCTTCGCCTCTCTATTAATGTGCTTGGACACTGAGCTCTGTGAACAGCCAGCCTCTTTAGCGATGACCTTTTGTGTCTTGCCCTCCTTGTGCAAGGTGTCGATGGTCGTCTTTTGGACAACTGTCAAGTCAGCAGTCTTCCCCATGATTGTGTAGCCTATAGAACTAGACTGAAAGACCATTTAAAGGCTTTTGCAGGTGGTTTGAGTTAATTAGCTGATTAGAGTGTGGCACCAGGGGCCATCAATTTTGAACCTTTTCACAATATTCTAATTTTCTGATATGATGAATTTGAGATTTTCATTTGTTGTCATTTGTAATCATCAAAATTAAACAAAATAAACATCTGAAATATATGAGTTTGTATGTAATGTATGAATATAATATACAAGTTTCACTTTTTAAATGGAATTACTGAAATCAATCTACTTTTTCATGATATTCTAATTTTATGACCAGCACCTGTATTTTAAACATTGAAGTGATGAAAATCGCTGATATCATTGTTCATATGTTTTAGATTATATACATGTGTATTAATATTTTTGGAGGAAAGGAAAATAAAATTCTCTTAGTTTTTCATTTAGTGAAATCTAATTCAGATTAAACTGACAAATAACTTTAGATTTGATCCTATTGGATTTTATTATTCTTTCTTTTTCATCTATAAGGTGCTACTTTGTTTATATTTTCATAAGTCAGGGCAACCATCACCTTTTCTCTGTCTTAGTCACAGGGGCGGATCTAGAAAAATATTTATGGGGTGGCGAGAGGGGGGCAGGAATTTTTGAGGGGTGGCAACATATGGCATTTGTTTACACTGAATTTAATCACAGTTATCACAGTTTGGTGAGAATAGTATGTACAGTACTAGTGTTTCATGTGAAACAGTTCATATTAATAATACATCGTACAATGTGATCTCACTTAATAGGAGATAGAAGAATGATAACACTACTTCTAGAGGGGCCTTATGACAGGAAAGGTATTAAGGTAAGACACAGGTGCTGAGGTGCAGATGTGTGAGATTGACTGTAAGAGAGGCAGCTTTGCAGCATTTACACAAGAAGAAAGTATAGAAAGAAAAAGTTCCCCATCAGAGATCTATGGACTGAGCTGCACTAAAGTGAGCAGAACTACACAGTAGAAATAAATGGGTCAAGGCACCCAAACAAGGAACCAGACATCCATGTATTGTTTACTCTGAACACACATTTACCCCATTTGTTCCTCAGTAACTTGACATACAGCAGTTACGGCAACATGAAAGGGACATTTCATGCATGTAGATATGCTGTAGATAGAGCTGCTGTATCAACAATTCAACAAAAAGGCAGGTACTGTATGTTACATCAAAAATCTCCACAAATCTGAAAAGAAGCAACATAAAAATACATTTTTCTTGCAGTCTGAAAAAGTACAAAACATTTTGTGATTAGGTTCATACAGGTCATTTCTGGATAGTTTTACACCATATATACTAAAAAAAGAAACAACAACACTGCTTCATATTAAGCAGGATTTACACCAGTATCACATTTTTAACTTTTAACACTTTTGGTTTTATTAAAGGAAATATCAGATTTCCTCAGGTGCCAAAACAAAATGTAGCAGCTCTGTAAAGGTTCACCAGAGCATAACATAAAAGTTGACATGACTATAACAGCTGAATGCGGTGATTTCCCTGCTGCTCAGCAAAACACTTCACTAATTTATTTAGATCCAATGCCTTTGTGCGTTTTGATTTGAGTACAACCAAACTGATCGTCTCTTTTCTGTCATAGTTGACCCCAAATATGTCTTTATGAGCCTGAGACGTCAGGCCTAACTAACATCATGGATAGAGGAATATCGTTCCGCAACCTGATTTTTATCATCTCAAAATCAGCATTGCAGCTATGCTAGCAACATTGTGCTTTCATTATGATTTCATTTCTCGATAGATAGTTAATCAATTTTTACCTGTTTCATCCCGTGTCTCCTCTCCCCATCACCCCTGGCTCCCTCGCTTTGCCCCATTCGGTTTTCAAACTAATCAGTCTCAGTCGCTCTCGCGTCATCTCGTGCTGCATTCACTGCAGTCCGACATTAGAAATTAGCGGTCGTAATTCTCAAATTATCCATAATTTATAAGCCCTACTGCCAACTGGAGTGGCAGCAGGGATGGTAAGCTGTCATTTAGGGAGGCATTTGCCACCCGATGCCACTCCAGTAGATCCGCCTATGATTTTACCTTTTATCTGTCATCTGAACGGTTCATTTATACAGCCCCAAAGCCGAGAAACGGAGCGTGGCGTGCCTTAACTCAAGAAAATGCTAAAACAGGCTGTGGTCAAACCAGTGGAGATGGTATCAGAGTTCTCCAAACTGCGCACTTCTCAAAAGAGCACTCCACAGAACCCAACAAGGGAACTCATGGGAGTGGCTGCCACCGGAGCTGTGACTGCTTTGAGTTGCCTGTGGCAGAAAGGAACCGCTCAGAGCAAAGAAAGGTAATAATGGGACCGGACCTGCCGGTGGTTCTGTTCGGCTCAGAGCGGCTTTAGTTTCACTTTCAGTCCAGGAAAACAAAGCAGCTCCAGGGACCCCGGCCCGAAATGCCACTGGACCGAACCTGCTACGGTCCCTGGTTCTGGGTTTGGCCGTTAATTCTGAGTAATTTTAATTAAATCTCAGCGTTTTATACGACATGAAAAAAAGAAAAAAAAAATTACTATGCTATTTAGTTTTTTCTCTAAATTACCATAAATGTATTTATTTTTTCTCAGTGATGTAAACTCAGATACGGTAGCCCAGAGCGGTCTTGTCCCTCTGATACTTTTTCACGGTGGTTTTCTCGAGAAAACAAGTACATTTTCTCATTATCTAAAGATAATGGAAGCCCCTATGTCGTTAAAACGAGATGATTGGTGTGTGATAAAACTGATTACATCCTTCAATACCACAACAACAGCAGAGGATTTATAAGTCATGACAGCCTATGTGTCATTCTGTAACGAGATCATTGTTGGTTTGATGATTTGCTTCCACTTCTGATTAATAAGCAATTAGACCCATGCCTCCGGTGACTTAGCACTGGGTGTTTTCTGAACAGCCCCGTTGTTTCGCCGATACCAGGTATAAGATGCATTATACCTTTTTCATCAAAGTCATCAAAGGTCAGTTAATATCTGTTTTTGCTGCACAAACCAGCACAAAAGGAGCTGAGTTAATTGACACCCACTTTGCCTCATTTGAAGAAGGTGTGGGGGGGCTGGTTGACCTTTGATGACCTCTAGAAACATCTCTTTATATCTTTAAATTGATAGCGGCACAAACGGAAATTTTTGCTGCACAAACCAGCACAAACGTAGCACAAACGTTTGACACTAATTCTGTCTAATTTGAAGATGGTGGTGGGGGGCTGGTTGACCTTTTGACCTTTACATTTTCATTAATATCTTCAAAGCCAAAGCAGCACAAACGACAATTTTTGCTGCACAAACGTAGCACAAACGTTTGACACCGATTTTGTCTGATTTGAAGAAGGTGGGAGGCCAACTTCACTCAGGTGATGCACCTGCCCCCAAAATGAGTCCAGATTTAAGATTTTCCAGTCGTGCGAGAATCTTTCAATCAGCTCGACCAACAGCCTGATTGTGAGTCGTGTAGTGTACAGGGGGTATGAGCGGCGAACAGCCTCTCACTACCATCTCCCGATCAGGAATCATGAGGTTGGGAGAAAATCTAACATGTTTGATTTTCTCCCGACCGTCGTGGGCAAATCGCTCAGGGCGTAAACAAGGATTTTTCTTTTTCTTCTTCCTCTCAGATGTAAACACAGCAGCATGGCAGGGATGCAATGGGTGAAATGCAGCTCTGTCTGTAAAATTAACAGACTGTAGTAGTCAGGTTTGCTCAGCCATGTCTTTTTTCCAAATATGTCGTCACCTTTTTTTTTCAGGGCTTTCAGCACAAAAATGCACAAATTGCCAAGGCAACGCGGTTCACTATAGTGAGCTTCATATTCCCCTTCTATTTGTTTGGCTTCCGAATAGACGCGTTAGAGCAGTTCGATCTCACTGCGAAGCTGAGTCAGACGTGGTTTTTAGTCGTACAGTGTGAGCAGGTAGATCGCATCAGAGAACATGAATCGTGAGCTGCGAACTCGCACTGTATGACTAAACCCTGCGATTAGTCGTACAGTGTGAGCAGCTGCTGCGTGCAATGATAGAAAAAAATCACACAGTGTACGCTGGACTTAAAAAAACAGATTTGTTTCTACTGTATCCCATGCAATCCATTCATCCACCACCGCCTGACAATGAGTGAAAAGAAAGAGGAAACTAAAAACTGATTATTTGTGCACACACGGTACTGCAACTGCACAACTCCAGGCCCAGCAGGTATGGATGGACTGGGAATCCATGGCTGCTGGCCGGCCTCATTCGTTACTCATACAAGTTAATCATCTCGTTATCTTGAAAAATCAATAACTGTTTTCTCGAGATAACGAGATAATTATCTCGAGAAAAGAATTCATGGTTTAACTGTGATAACGAAATAGTTATGTCATTATCTCGAAAAGAGAAGGCAAGGAAAAAAAGTTGGGTATGACTGCTCTTGGCTTCCATACTCAGACAAATGTTTTTTTTCCCCCTGCTTAGTTTCAGCAGACAAAACCTAACCACTTTTCTTCTCCCTCTGTGCTTCAGCGAAAGGAAGGCGAGGCAAATAGAGGACGTCATGTGTCTGTGCTGTGAGCTGTCGGCTCATGATCAGATCAAAGTGGGGGTGAAAAGCTCGGCCAAAGCAGCGGTTGTAGCGGGGGGCACCGTATTTGTTGACCTGCAGGGATCCTAGTTGGTAAGAAGCTGGAGGCGGTGATTCGAGGGGCCCAGAAAGAGCCAAGAGGGGCCTAGAATCAGGGACATTTATAGGGTGCGTTTAAATTCATGGGCTGCATCCTCCAAGGACACGGCCTACCTGGACTGGATCATTTTCAAGTCCATGAAAATAAGGAGACCGGAAGAGTTGTGGCTGTGAATTCAAACAGGTCCAGCCTTCAGCGGCTTTCTCCGCAGTACGCTCTGTTGCTTAGCAACCGTGAATGTTGACACACAAAGCAGGAAAATAATGAATATCAAAACTGTTTTGTTTAAAAAAAAAATATTTTTTTCCAGAAATAAAAGCGAATGTATTGATAGAAACCTTAGTCCTTTTGCACATCTCTGATGTTGCTGCTATTTTCAAATATCCATAACTCTAAAAATATCAATAGCTGGATATTGGTTAATTATTCTCCAGGTGCACATATTTATATTTTTAAAACACTTTACAGTACAGGATTTTATTGTTTATCTTTTAACTCTTCTCTGTTATTATATTCTTATACATTTTCTAAGATCCACATTTGTGTGACCATTTTTTTCTACAATTTTTTTTTTGCTGCTGTAAACATCAGAATTTCCCCATTGTGGGACAATAAAGAGATTTTCTATTCTAGTGCATGGGTAGAAAAAGGGTAGAAAGATATAAGTAAATCAAACAATGTATTTATAAAAAAATATATTTGCAAAATCTCTTATATTCAACAACAAAAAATACATAGTTAAAGGAATAGTACACCCAAAACATGATTAGCCTTCATTTTCTACTCACCCCCATGCTGAACAACACTCTGGAGTACTTTTTTGATATCTCAAATGCATCTGGAGATCGGGGAGGCTTCTTACTGTCTGCTGACATTCAAATAATGGAGGTCTATGGTGACCGAGACAGAAAGGTCCATAAAAGTCCACAAAAAACGTGTCAATATTCCTCCATACTGCTCGTCCAATGTATTCCAAGTGTCCTGAGTGGGTAGCATCCAGAATTTACTCGAAACGAAGTCATTTAGAATGTTTTTAGAGCATAAACAGTAGTGTATAGGATTTCCTAAAAGCGCGTTCACGAGTCTACGGAAACCGCGGCAGACCAAACCAGATGAAAGTGCGCATTCAGCTCGGCAAAGAACTCATGCTCTTCCTCAACACTGAAGTCCTCAGACATTTTTCTTTCGTTGTTTCTTTCTTTGCACAGGTAAACAGCACATTTCTTCTTCTACGCTTGCATTATCGGCAGAGCAGACGCTGAATGCGCACTTTCATCTGGTTTGGTCTGCCGGCTTCCGTAGCGTCGTGAACGCGCAGGTGCGCGCTTTCAGGAAATCCTATACACTACTGTTTATGCTCTAAAAACATTCTAAATGACTTCGTTGGGTGTACTATTCCTTTAAGAAAATTTTGCAAAATAGCAATTAAAAAAAATCAGATTTATAGTCCCCACACAGCAGATGTATTAAAATCTGTTCTTAAATGTCAGCCAAACCCATTTACATAGTAAAAGATAAAAACCTTTAGATAAATCAAACATTACAGCCACATATCTGAATCAATAACCATTAAAACAAATATTTACAGTCATTTCAGACGGAACTATTCATACTTGTATTATATTAAACTGGACTTCCAATATTCACCACTGTACCTTTTCCCTCTGATCACGGAGCAGCCGGTTTGCTTGGTCTCACAATGAATCCTGGGATAACCAAGGAAAGATAGGATACATATGACCCATTGTTCAAATCGGGTAAAAAGAAGGACGCATTTGTAGGGCGCATAACTAGAAAGTCTCACTATGACGTAATCATCCTTCGAATCTGGCCTTCGGAGGACGCAGCCCATAAATTCGAACCCACCCATAGAGTGAATATTGTTTCATTATTGATGCTAAGACCATGTTTTGTAAAAGGAAGTTTAGAAGAAAAAATGAAATCCAGATTCTTTGACAATAACTTTTAGCTCTTTTTCTCAGCTTTTAATTTTGTAATTTTTTTCATTTTTTCCAAATGTCTGTTTTTTCCAGATCACCTAATCTTAACTTTCACTCTAATCCTTTGGATTGGAAAAAAAATGCAGTTTTATAAGAATATAATGTAAAACTGTATGAAAACCAAAAAAGAAAAAAAAATATGAAAATGCTTTAAAATTAAAAAATCTAAGGAAATAGTAGCAATTCTCAAAACTGTTATTGAAAACAAGAAAAGAAACATGTTTCAATTAGAAAAACTCAAAAACAAAAGATCTGCCTTTTTGATTTTAATAATTAAAGACATGCTAAAGTTATTCTCCACAAAAACTTGCTGATCTTCCTGCAGAAAACAGAAATTATGGTCTGTGCATCTATCTACTGTACCTCTATATTATAACTAGCTGTTGTTACCACGGCAACCAATTAACGTTGTTACTTTGGTCACTGGACTTCAAAGTAAAAGCATAATGCAGCTTCTTGGTGAGTTGTGTTTAACCCTGAGTTTTCATCTCCATGACGACGCAAAGCATCACAATTATTTTCCCTCTGGAAAGGTTCAATCCTCATCATTTAGCAAGAAGTGACAATCTGATACAAACTGATCAGCATCGCCTCCTGTCTTAGCGGGAAAATACGTCTTTTTTACTACTTGTAAACTATCATTAATCTACTTTAGTTATCATGACCCTAAAATGTAGCTTTTATTTTCTCTTCTTTTTCCAAACTCCATATCTAATTTTTTTTCCTTAAAGACACAAACTTCGATTAACTGATCTTTTTTTATAGGAATGAGTTCAGACCTGCATCGGTTTCTGGAACAACACGGCTTCACCACCATTTAACAGCCCAGTTATTTGAGTTGGATTCAGAAAATCAAAATAAAGATTTAATGGCCTTTATGCACAACTCCACTACTTCCTGAACAGCCGCTCTTTTGTTTTCTGTCTTTTTCTTCTGGATGGACTGATTAATGCAGGTGTGTCTGGCCATGGTTGGTGAGGTCAGACTCACCTGGATTAATCAGTTCATCCAGGAGAAAAATACAGGAAACAAAAGAGCTGATTTAAGGAAGTAGCTCAGCGCTGCCACCCGGTGGCAGCAGCAGCACATGGCATCAGGCTGATATTTAAACCCATTAGATGGGCCAGTACCAAACAGGGCCCCAAAGAACTGAACCAAAGACCCTCCGTTCCTGCAGAGGGTCCGCCACATTAAGGCCCGTCCCAAACCACGCAGTGGGTGGGCAGAGTGGACCGTTCAGCCCTTAGATAACGAGGCAGCATCAGTGCAGGCACTACAGAATGAACAATCAAAGGGTTAATGATGTCTCATTAATTATTTCATAAAGCTGGAACCAAAATGTCTCTTCTGACTCTTGATGCAGACCTCTGTGTTAAACTGCAGTCAAATGAACCAGTATTGATCAGCATTGAGGTCATTTCTAGAACCAGTGAACACATATTAGCTGATGGAGGGAGAAATAGCTGACATCATCCAGCTGATGCATCGTCTGTCCTGTTTGGTTCTAATGAACCAACAGCAGCTCAGATCCAGTCTGGTATTTAAAGCTGCATCATCAGCTCATCCATGAAAATCCTTTGGAAAAGTTCCCCCGTTCATCCAGACCAGGTTGCAGACGCAGACAGGAAACGTCTCTCTGTTCATTAGAGGAGGAATTCCCATTTTTCATGCTATCATCAAAGGTTTTCTTCCTGCATCATAAAGCTGTAACCAAGCCTCTGTGTCTCTGAGGTGGAGCGGTGGGGACTGCGCTGGGCTGGGTGACCTGCGAAACGTTCAAGCCTCTGCCTCAGATCCTGATGAAGCTTTCTCCGCAGCAGAAGCAGGAGCTCTATACACAGATCAAAAACGACCTGGGCAGCCTGGACTGGTTGGACGCCGAGGAGCTCATCCAGCTGGTTATGGGGAACGCCAGTCTGAAGCAGCTGGTCATCAACTCCCTAATCAACTACGTCACCAAGAAGCTCAGTGTTACACTCACAAATGAGAACTGAGCTTCATGGAGGAAGATCACTGATCTCTATTTATACACTGGATTGCTGATATCCCGAAAAGAGGCTTTTTTTTTTAAGTGTTGTATTTCTCATTTGAAAAAGTCATGTGCTGAAACATCCATCCATCCATTTTCTGTCACGCTTATCCCAGTTAGGGTCAGGAGGGGTGCTGGTGCCCATCTCCAGCAGTCAATGGGTGAGAGGCGGGGTCCAGCCAGGACAGGTCTCCAGACAAACAACCATTCACACACACACTCACACCTAAAGAGGATTTAGAGAAGCCAATTAACCTAACAGTCATGTTTTTGGACTGTGGGAGGAAGCCGGAGTACCCGGAGAGAACCCACACATGCTGATACAAAATGTAATTACCACAATGTCATCATTACATGTCTATTACAGGTACATCATCAATTTAGCACTTTTGGCACTTCTGTATTACTATGCTCCATTAACACATTCATTTTGTTGTGATGGATTTTTAAAATATGTTATATTACATGATTTATATACTTCATAATGACTATGCAATGAGATGTGCCTATTTTTTTTTTTTCATAAGCTACGGTAATCCACGTGATGAATTTATCTTTCTTTAAAAGTCTTAGGTCCCCCTGAAAATGAGAACATCATTGTTGTTTGATGTTTTAGAGCACATATTGTTTATGTTGCGACCGGTCTAATAGGGACTACCAATGTGGCGGCCAGTGGCTTCAATCCAACCCGTATTACCAACGGGCAATCAGCAGTGCAGTGAATAAATAGAACCTGCTAATAAACAGAGTAAACGTGCTTAAAGCTGCTCAGTGATTAGGAAGTCTTATTAATTCTGAAAAAACAGAAAAATGCTTTATTTTCTCTCTGAAATCTGAATAAAAACATTATTTCTTAAATCTATGAGTCTGTCTAATCCACAGATGGAGGCAGCCTGTCACTCCAGCCTTCATCCACTAGATGGCAGTAAAACTCAACACGTTTGGAGTTATTTAGTTTTTTCTTCAAAACTTTATTTTGAAAAAACCTCAGACTGACATCATATCCAACCATCAGCTCCTGTCTCATTTCCAGCACATTTGTTTCCTTTATTTTCAGGCACATAAAGCGAGGAGTAAGGCACCTTTAATGAAGGAAGAACAAAACGCCTCTGATGACTTTCACTCCTTAACAGGATCCTTTCAGCTTGTTAGGCTTTGAGCAAATGTTTGTCATCCTGAAAACGATTGAAAACTATTTTATTATTTTTCCCTTTAAATCTTAATCAGTTCCCAGGTTTATTTATTCCATCTTTTGTTTCTGTTTTTATTACTGGCTTAAACAAATAAATGGTTCACATGGATCGGTTGTTCATTTTTACAGTACGATCAGAAATCAGCACCGTCAGAAACTGAATTTGACTAAAACCTGTTTTCTAATTATTTTTTTTTTAGTTAAATGTAGTTTTTAAAATGAAATAGTCTAAAAAATGAATTATAAATCCAGAAAATTCAGACTCCTTTGAATGAAATTCCTTTTCAAAGTGATTCATTTAATGTCAGATTCAGTCAGACGGTCCAGGTTTCTGTCCGTACTTCCAGACCTTTCCATGACCATCACCTCATCAGTGGTTCTTCTCCCAGAATCGGCTCCGTTCAGAAGTTTGAGCTCCGACTAACCAGCATGCTGCTCAGTCAGGCTAAAGCAATCAAACCACTCAAAGTTCACATTTATAACGTCGGTATTAAAGTTCGGCGAGCAGAGACGACGTCTGGAAGTCAGACATTCCTACATGTCCGGTACCGATCTGTGAGGCAGCTGAGCTTTAATCTGTTTTAACTTTTATCACCTAAAAATATTCCCAGATGTTTGCTAGCATCATTTCCTCAGAAGCAAAAGGCAGCGATTCGGTAGCTTTGGGATCAGAAACAAGCAGCTGGAAGCAGCAGACAGAACTAAAAATATAAATTATAAGCGCACCGATTGAATCGGCCGATCAGCCTCGATTTCCTGAACTTTATTAGATCGATATTTCGACAAGTCTGAAAATCCTCCTGTCATTGCTCTAAACTTTGGTTGATATTAGAGAAGTTTTGATTGCTCCACAGGTACTGATGTTGATCAGTGAGGTTAGATTGGAAATCGATGCATCAATAGCATAAATATGCAGCCTTTCTTTGTTAGTGTTTTCCCATCAGCTCTGGGTGCAGGCGGCTTTTGTGGATGAACCAGTCGGGGTTCAGTGGAGCCGTTAAGGCGGCGGACTTCCTGCCTCTGGTCAATACTACGGAAACCTGCAGGCAAAATACTGACTGCTCAAAACTTCCCAATAGAACCCATCTTCAAAAAGTCTGAATTTTTTTAATAATTATTGATCCCATAGAGAAACAGGCCTCCATCTTGTTTGATCTCAAGCCGTTTTACAAACATCTGAGTCTTAGTTTAATAATTAGAAAATATTCTGGGTCACCAAAGATTCCCAAACAGGAAACAAAACTGAGGATTTTCTCTGAACAAACGTTCCTCCTGTTTTAAAAAAATGTTGAACTGTCCTGGCTTCTGATGTGATCCGTTCCTTTAAGGCACCGAGTGCAGAGCGATCGTGTAACAGCCGAGTTTAACGCCACAGAACAAAGATGGAGGATCTCCAGAAGCAGAAACTCCTCCTCATCACCAAGCAGCAGCAGGATGAGGCTCAGTGGGACACAAACACTGGAAGCTTTAAAGCAGTCAGGCTTCAATGGAGCTTTGTGCAAAAAAATAAATAAATACTAATCAGTTCAGATAAGAAGCAAGTAAAACAACACGTTCACTGTACAATATGACATTTCTGATGTGAAGTAAGAAAAGTGTAAAAGAATCCATGTGGGTCTAAAACTGTTCTGAGAGCAGCTCACACAGCCGCTGAGATACAGACTCCTTACTGGTCCGCAGGGTGAGGCGGTACATCTGGAAAAAAACACACGGAGAGACCAGTTACAGCATCTCTGATGGAGACAGACGTCTGATCCATGCATTTCTGTTGGATTTTATCAGACAGAGCGACTAAAAGGGAACGGCTTAAAAACAAACCGATGAATATTACAGAGGCAGAGCGCCTCGTGTCACTAGCTGATCCGCCCCGGAAGCACGATCCATCGTACCATGAGCATCCTGATATACAGGTGCTGGTCATAAAATTAGAATATCATGAAAAAGTAGATTGATTTCAGTAATTCCATTTAAAAAGTGAAACTTGTATATTATATTCATACATTACATACAAACTCATATATTTCAGATGTTTATTTTGTTTAATTTTGATGATTACAAATGACAACAAATGAAAATCTCAAATTCATCATATCAGAAAATTAGAATATTACTGAAGACCAATAAAAACAAAGGATTTATAGAAATGTTGGCCAAATGAAAAGTATGAACATGAAAAGTATGAGCATGTACAGCACTCAGTATTTAGTTGGGCCTCCTTTGGCCTGTATTACTGCAGCAATGCGGCGTGGCATGGAGTCGATCAGTCTGTGGCACTGCTCAGGTGTTATGATAGCCCAGGTTGCTCTAATAGTGGCTTTTAGCTCTTCTGAATTGTTGGGTTTGGTGTATTGCATCTTCTTCTTCACAATACCCCATAGATTTTCTATGGGGTTAAGGTCAGGAGAGTTTGCTGGCCAATTAAGAACAGGGATACCATGGTCCTTCAACCAGGTACTGGTAGCTTTGGCACTGTGTGCAGGTGCCAAGTCCTGTTGGAAAATGAAATCTGCATCTCCAAAAAGTTGGTCAGCTGCAGGAAGCATGAAGTGCTCTAAAACTTCCTGGTATGTGGCTGCGTTGACCCTGGACCTCAGAAAACACAATGGACCAACACCAGCAGATGACATGGCACCCCAAACCATCACTGACTGTGGAAACTTTACACTGGACTTCAAGCAACGTGGATGAAGTGCCTCTCTTCTTTTCCTCCAGACTCTGGGACCTTGATTTCCAAAGGAAATGCAAAATTTACTTTCATCAGAGAACATGACTTTGGACCACTCACCAGCAGTCCAGTCCTGTTTCTCTTTAGACGCTTCTGACGCTGTCTGTGGTTCAAGAGTGGCTTGACACAAGGAATGCGACAGCAGAAACCCATGTCTTTCATACGTCTGTGTGTGGTGGTTCTTGAAGCACTCACTCCAGCTGCAGTCCACTCTTTGTGAATCTCCCCCACATTTTTGAATGGGTTTTGTTTCACAATCCTCTCCAGGGTGCGGTTATCTCTCTTGCTTGTACACTTTTTTCGACCACATCTTTTCCTTCCCTTCGCCTCTCTATTAATGTGCTTGGACACTGAGCTCTGTGAACAGCCAGCCTCTTTAGCGATGACCTTTTGTGTCTTGCCCTCCTTGTGCAAGGTGTCGATGGTCGTCTTTTGGACAACTGTCAAGTCAGCAGTCTTCCCCATGATTGTGTAGCCTATAGAACTAGACTGAAAGACCATTTAAAGGCTTTTGCAGGTGGTTTGAGTTAATTAGCTGATTAGAGTGTGGCACCAGGGGCCATCAATTTTGAACCTTTTCACAATATTCTAATTTTCTGATATGATGAATTTGAGATTTTCATTTGTTGTCATTTGTAATCATCAAAATTAAACAAAATAAACATCTGAAATATATGAGTTTGTATGTAATGTATGAATATAATATACAAGTTTCACTTTTTAAATGGAATTACTGAAATCAATCTACTTTTTCATGATATTCTAATTTTATGACCAGCACCTGTACATCCAGGTTTCCATAAACAATTTAATTATAGAACTAAAATTACTTATTTCTATCCTTAAATCACTAAAGAACGCTTTTACACACCTTTAAAAAATGTTTTATGACTTTTTCTTATTTTTTTTATGCCTTTTGCATTTACTTTATTAAACTGCACTGGAAATAAATCTAAATCTAGATAAGTCATTTTTTCTTAAAATAAGTTCATTTGTTCTTGGATAAGGGAGGTAAAGAGACATTTTGCCAATGGAACAAGACAATTTACACTTAAAATAGGAAAACATAATTGTATTTTAAGTGCATTTGATCTAATTATCTTATTTCAAGAGGAAAACTGTTAATTTCATTGGCAGAGGACTTCATTTATCTACTCAAATTAAGGGTAAATACACTTCATTTGCTAAATTTGTACATTATTTCTAGATCGTTTTTCTAGTGTGACATCATCCGAAATGTTCACACTGCAAAAAGTTTTTTTTTTTAAAAGAAGACAATTTACATTTAAAATGAGAAAACAGATTGCATTGTCTTATTTCAAGTGCATGTTATCGAATTATCTTATTTTAAGACTAAAAATACTCATTCCATTTTCAACCTGCAATCTCATAGCGGAGGGAAGAAATCATTTTATGAAGAAAAATTTGAGCGAGCGTGGAGCCATTTCGACTTTGAGCGGTGAAGCAAATGAGCAAACTATGGCAAGCCAAGAGTGCCACTATTCCCATCTAATTATCATGTTAAGATTAAAATTTGCCTGCTAAAAGTGCCCATTTTCCAAAATTTCACCGCTTTTTCCGGTGTCTTTTACCAACGAGCACTGCTTTTTAGGTCCGTCATGATGGTCCCGCAGTATGGAAAGCCATTTGGTCCAATTAAAAAACATAAATAAATGGGACTTCCACTCCAGCTCTGTGTCCTTGTTTCAAACATTGATCTCTGTGGCGAGAGGAGAGAGTTTTACCTGTGCTTGTGTGTTGGGCTCCAGCCTGAGCAGGCAGCCCACCTGAGTGGTCTTAGTGTGGATGATTCCAGCCCCGACGAAGTTAGCAGGATTGGGATCCACGCCGTCCAGCAGAGCCACGCCGAAGCCCAACAGCTGAAGGGAGGAAAGAGAAGGAAGAGAAACCTTCATCAGAAAGATCCTGTCCCCAGTAGCTGCTGCTGATTCATTTAGGCTGAGATTGCTTTTTGTTTCCACTTACAGATTGGAAAAATTATCAATAAATAGTAAAAAAAAATATTAAATTAGGTGTATATACCCTGAAGATTCAAAGGGTTTTAAAGGAGATGCACATTTATTACTTTATTATGATGATTTATTCCACTCTTCTTTAGTACAGCTACACTGCAAAACATTGAACTCTAAATAAGTAATTTTTTCTTAAAATAAGTGCATTTTGTCTTGAATGGAGGTGGTAAGTGAGACACTTTGCCAAAGGAACAAGACAATTTACATAAAAAAAAAAAAAAAAAACTATTGCATTGTCTTATTACAAGCACATTTTATCCAATTATCTTATTTTAAGTGTACAAATACATTTCAATTTGCAAATCATCTCATTTACTTAAAAAAATTAAGGGTAAATACATTTGATTTAAGAAATTTGTACTTATTTCCAGATTGTTTTTCCAGTGTATGTTTTATTATGATCAGTAACATAATTAAGAATTTCTTTTCCTTCATCACTTATTACTTTATTATTTATATTTTACATATAAAATAAAAGTGGGTGTTGCCAGGTGGTTTTTACCATCCTTGTAATCTTATCCATGAAAGAGCAGAATTGTAATAAATACATTAATATAAATGTCCTATAAAACAAATAAATGTACCTTAAAATAAGTAGATGCAAGTTTATTTATTATATAATTAAAATATTAATGATATAAATAAATTGAAAATGCACCATTTGATATTTAAATGTCCAGTTAGGATATTTAAAATGATGAATCAAATGATTGAACATTACTTTCAATTTAAAAATGAAAACATTTACATAGATTTACACATAGATGTAGAGCAAATTAATGATAGAAGTGAAATGTTTGCTCTGCCGTATCCATAAAACCACTCTGTGCTACAACTAGACACTGGACTGTTTTGTGCTCATTTCCTCTTTTTTTTGGGTTTAATCTTAACAGCAGTATTTAACACTGAATGTCTCCCTGTTTACCTTGGCTTTGGCAACGTCTGTATCCATCTGGTTTTTGGCTTTGAAGATTTTCTGCACCTCTTGTTGAGGGCTGAGCACAAAAAACACAACAAAAAAGAAAACCTTAACTTTCAAAGAAAGGTTTTCAATTACTTCAACTTTTAAAACACAAACCTTATGAGGTAAAGTACAGAAGCGTATTGCATTCACCAAAGAAAAATTAATCGGACAGCTTTTCTCATAATTAAGAGCTTCTGTTCTCATAATTTAGAGATAATATATCACATTTAGGAGATCAGGAAGGACAGTCATTGCATTGCTGAGCTACGCTACATGAAACCTAAACAATGAGTGGGTTATCAAATTTAATATGTTTTTATTTCCATTTAGGTATGCGACAATGGGAAATAATGTGGATGGAATTAGTTTTAGTTTTTCAGCATTGCGCAGCAAATCCTTAGGATTGTTTAGGTGAAAAAGCCCACTCTACTCTGACTTACTGGCAGTCACACTGTTCCTGCAGGAGCAATTAAACCAGCACAGGATGCTTAATGGTTATAAATGGATGCATCTGAAATGCATCCCAGCTGGCTTGGTGTCGTCCCAAAGAACTGTCCACTGAGGCCTTCTCAAAATCCTACATCAGAGGTCACGGAATAGCGGACTGAGGTCCGGATCCAGAACCACCTGTTGGCTAATCAGGACCCAACCTGATTTAAAACATTTATACCGCATGTTGTCTGATGACAGTGTCTAATTTCACTTGCTGTCAGTCTGGGTTGCTGCTGCTGCTGCTACTTTTAGACACAGCAGGCAAACCTGTGGCAAGCCGGGCGATGGGAAAGAAGGAGAAGACAATGAGAAAAAGAGAGCAGAGAAAGTGTGGACTGCTGGAAGAACTGTGGTGAACTGGTGAAAGAAAAGTGAAATGGTGCTCAAAGATGACCCTGAACATTTAGAGGATGTTTGGCTCAACCTGCTACTGTGAAGTAGGATTCTCCACCATGAACAGAATCAAAAATAAATACGGATAAATATTGGTGACCCCTGATCTAGATCCTCAAAGAATACAGCTGAGGCTTCAGAATCATTTAAAACGACCAGGTCCTAGCTTCATGTCGATTCATATGAAAAACTAAAACCATACGGAATCTGTTTTAATGGAGCTGTTGAAGGATTTTGGCGTACGGTCATAAGGCTGCATGCTTACACCACAAGTAGCAATCCCCGGGTTAGAGCTGGGTACTTTATTGATGAAGGAGCAGGAAGTTCAACACTTATCAGGTCAGACCTCGGTACAGAGAACTGTTCAGAGGAACACATGCAGATATTTTTAAGTAGTAATCATGAAGACCAGTTTTCTGAGAGATGCTTCATTACTGGCTCAACTAATCATGACCAAATATATAGAGAAGATCTCGTTATTATGATATATTTTATCATAATTATCAGATACTGATCTGGTAATTATGAGATAAGCTGTGTGATTAGTTTTTTCTTTGGTGAAGGCAATACGCTTTGGTAGTAAAGCGACACCTGGAACCTAAAACGGTTTGATTTATTCTGTGAAGGATTGGAGGATTCAGGCTTACGCTCCGAGCTGCTTCCAACGTTGGAAGAAGTCCTGGGACGTCATCTCAGTGGGCTGGAAAAACTTATTAAGCATCACAGGCAGTTTGACTGTGATGTTCTGCAACGTTCCGCCGTATCTGTTCTTGCACATAAAGCAGACAGTTTAGGGAGGGAATTTTATGACATTATTGTTGCAGGAAAAAAATATGTTTTATGAATGATAAAAAACAATCCAGAAATAAAACTAAAAGTTTTGTAGAAATACTTTGTGTTTTTTTTTTTTAGATTTAAATGTAAACTTTTTTTTTCCCCTGATTTCTAATTTTTCTCATATTCAATTTTTTTTCCTATTTGAATTCTATTCAAGCTGCGTTATTCAGTCACATTCTCTTCTTTTCAAACCCCAAAACAAACACAGCAGTAAAACTGTTGTTGCCAACATCCAGCAGACCAATAGAAATGTGTCTTTGGCCCCCAGTCCACAGGAAGCCCCGCCTCCAGAGGTGCAGAGAATGTGATCTGGAAAACCCAATTTGAAATAATGCAATACGTAAAAATCTCATAAAACAAAAATAGGGGGGGGAAATAACTTTACAAAAACCATGAAGTAATTTGATAAAGTAAGATTTAAAATTGTTCTAAAAACACAAAATTTGAGAAAACATCAAAGTTACTCTCATAAATTTTTTTTTTATTAAGATGGGCTTTATACAGGAAAGAATAACTCTAATTTAATGTCTTTAATGCTCTTAGAAATCATTTTAACAATAATAATTAATTTCAACAAGTACCCATGACTCTCAAATAAACAGGGCAAAATGTTTCGTCATCTTTACCGTCGACAGGCTGCAGCCATGTCTCCATTTCCTTGTTTTCCAGCCAATTTTTTTTTATTATTTGCTTTTTCCCCATTCTCCATTTTTTTCTCCACCTCAGGTTCTTTTCCAGGCATATGGCTTTACGATCAACCGGAAGCAGTTCCGAACCAATATATCGCGTATATTACGTATATCTGACGAAATTGTTTTTATAAACCTTTTTTTCTTTTTTAAATAAAGCATTTTAAATGCTATGACGGAGTATTTGGGCCAGGTTAGAGATTTTCATTTTATTTTTTATCTTGAGAGCAAAGTCTTAACATTACGAGAAAAAAGTCTTAATATTACGAGAATGAAGTCATCATACAACCCGTTTCAGAAAAAAGAATTGAGCTCCGCCCAGCATATTATGGGCGACCAGCTCCACCAATCAACAACCTGAGTACGCTTTGACATTATGCCAAATTTGATTTTCTTATTTGTCAAACCGATGCCAAAGTATAACTTCACATGATGCTCGGCATTCCTCATTTTAGGGAAGAAAGTGCTTCTTGCAAGCGTGTTCATAAAATACAACTTGTTTCTCGTAATTGTACGACTATATTCTCATAATGTTGCAACTTTATTTTCAGAATAGAACAAAAAACAACTCTCTAGTCTGGTCCTATAAATGCAGAGATAATCACATTGAAAGAATTTTAATGCCAATTAAGGCCTTCGTTTTAAACAAAAAAAACATTGAATGACTTTTAATGATTTTTAATGACCCACGGAAACCCTGAGTTTCCAGGTTTTATTACTGGATTCCCTTTTCTTTTTTTTTAATTTCTGTTGACAAAAAATAAAATAAAAAATTATTTCATTGCAACATTAAATTCACAAAACTCCAGATGTTTTGCACGTAGGTGATAGACAGGAAAACCAAGCGTTAAAAAAATCCCAGATGAACTTTATCACTAACCTGAACTGAATGTTGAGCACAGGAGCCTCTGAGAAATCCGACACACACTCAATGTTCAGGATCTGCTGGAGCTGAGCTCCGGCCTCGATGAGCGGATCCACAGGCTTCACCTGAACGTTCAGCTGTGGAGCTGCTGGTCAAGGATTCTACCCACTGTCACACAGAGACCCGCTGCATTCCTCTCCATCCCATCCATCCATCTGGATTGAACTGGAGCTGGGATTGCTAGGATCCTCGCAACTGACTTTGATTGATTTTCTTATTAAATATCGTTGATGTGGTTTAGATATCTATTGATCTTCTGATGAACATGAGTGGCCGTGGTGTACCAGCGCATTTATTAATATTTGTGAGAAATTAATGATTATTATGGAGAAAAGAAAAACATGAAAACACTAAATAAACCTTAAAGTCAATTGATACTGAACTGTGAATAAATGAACTGATATCTTTCTCCTTCCAGGTTTAACCCAAACTAATCAGCTTTTGGTTAAAGAGCAGAGCGGTGATTAATCTGTTAGGAGATTTGCTGAAATGAGTACAGACCATAATACACCGAATACGATTTTGCATCCGATTCAACAGGAAATTGTGTCTGACGAGGTCGTAGCGTTTAGCGCTCATTGAAAGTCAACGGGGACGATCACAACCGACACGATTTTCTGCGAGAGAGCTTTCCTTAGGTCAGACTGAGACAGAGCCCAGGTCTATTTTAGTCGGACTACGCAGCAATTCAGCAGCAATTCATGGGTCTGACTGGAAGAGAGACGCGATTACAAAGTAAAACGCATCCGCTTTGGGGGAAAATACGAAATAAAAACTGTTAATCGCACGGGGGAAACAGTCAATTTTAAAGTCACATGGAGTCTCTTGCAAAAACAATCAATAAAATTGCAGCTAATGATTATTTTTCAAATCAATTAATCCGTCAATTATTTTTGAGATGCTACACAGACTCGTTAAAGCTACAGTGTATAATTTCCAGCGACATCTAACGTCCAGACTGCAGACCGCAGCAACATGAACATCTCCCCCCCACCGCTTCTCCCCCCCCCCAACAGTACGGCGAGCGTTACGGGACAAAATGTCTTCCACGACGTCCGCATCACCTACCTTCTCAAGTGATGAGGTTTGTTAAGTGATGAGGTTAAGATAATAAATATACCCGTTATTTTTTCTACATCGTTTTGACGTTTTGGTGAGCTGCTTTGCATGGTGATATAAACAATTGTAGTCATTAGTTTAACAGCGAGATTGTGTTCGCTGGAAGAATATATATTCCCCGTTTACAGAGTCCAAGTCTTGTTTGTGGCACGGGGGTTACAAGGCGAGGATGAGGGAGAGGAAGAGGGCGAGGAAGAGGGCAGAGAGGCCGGGGTGGGCGTGCAGCCAGGGCCAGGCGATGGAGGGGTGCCAGCGGGGTGACTAGAGAAGAGGAGGAAAAGCTTGAAGATCTCCAAAGGAGCCGGAGAGAAGTAACCGAGGTATATATCCAGAAAATTATTTTACAGAAAATTACTGAATCATTACCTGTGAAACGTCAAGGACGTTGCTGAATAAGTATACTGGAGAGTAACAGCATCATCACGCAGCATGTTATTGTAATGGGCGATCTCGCAATCGCTAGTTTATTGGCTCTGGGCTGCCGTAGCGCAAAGATGTCTGCCTCCATGGCTGCGAGACCCGCTCCTATGTAATTATAAATAACGAATTCTAAGGCAACGCAAATATTAAGGTTAAGAGGCTGAGCTCGTAGATGATGATAAATAACATAGTTATGTATAATATATTACATTTCTGACTGTATATCCCTGTAATTATTACACACTGTAGCTTTAAGTGGGGCTTGGCTGTATAGCTGCACTATGGGGTTTTTATTGATTATCGTTTATTTCTTTTTAATAACTTTTCATAATCAGTCAAATGCGGGGATTTTTTTTCTATTTGTGTATAAAACAGAGACAAAAGTGAAAAGAATCTGCACAGATCTGCTCACCCTGCCTAGTCAAAGCCTCTATATGTAGTCAACCTGACATGGAAAAAAATCGGATCGGAGATTAAAAACCTTTGTGTTCAAGGCTTAAAACTGGACGAGGAAGGCATCATTAATTGGGAGGACGGGAAAAAAAAACAGCTTCAGACTTTGCGAATGCGTCCCAATAATCGTGATCTTTGTTCTTCTTCTTTGCTCCATCGCCTTTATCTCTTTTCTTTTAGCATTTTGTCTAACTTTGCCTTTTGCTTCTGTTCTTTTTTCGTTTTGAACAGCTCATATCTACACTACCTCAGCGCGAGTCCTGCAACTTCAAGATGCATCTCTACTTTGATGGGTCAAACTACAGAATCACCGAATTATATTCACGCTTCAGTATGCAGCTCAGGCCTTCACAGACGGTGCGTGAGCCTGAATGAACCCTGCAGCCGTTTATGCTAAATGCTGCTGCTGTGTTCTCTAAAAACACAGGGGGCAGCAAGCAGGTTAATATGATCCACATCGGTGTCATTTCGCTGATTTAAAGACTGTAACAGCTAAACACTGAAAGAATGGGCTGTGGAGAACCCTGGAATTACAATCAAAGGGGAAAACATTTAAAAAACTGAAACTGAATGGAAACAAATGCCGACACTGCAGACGATTACTGAACCGTTCTCAGAGAGAGCGAGCAGTAATCAAAGACATTGGACAGGAAGCTTATTTATTACATATCTGCTTAAGCTTGTATGGTTTCCCCAGGCAGGGAAGAAGCTGTGAGGTAGATGAGAGGATATGAGTGCTGAGGAGGTCATTACTGGTCACCGACGTGGAGAAGCTTAGGAACTGTGTGGACGTCTTGTTGCCATAGAAAACATAAATACGACCTGCAGGAAGACAGGAAGTAAACCACCTCCTTATCCCATCCGACCATATTCCAATCTTTATACTGACTCAGATTTTAAACAGGTTTAAAAATATTCATCCTAAAAAATATAACATAACTGTATATAAGTCATACTTGCAGAGGCTCACCGAGGTTCTGACGGTACTCAGACTTCAGTCCAATCTGCAGAAGCTGGTTCTCATAGATGACACCGTTGTTTTTACACACAAACCTGCAATGTCAAAGTTAACAGTTTATGTAAATAACTGTTTATAACTGTAAAGTGCCTTGAGATGACATCTGTTGTCAACTGGCGCTATAGAAATAAACTGAACTGAATTGAACAGACTAGGATAACTGGACTAGGATTCTTGCAGCCATTAATTAACGATTAACAAATACTTATAAAAATAGTTATAGGTGGACAGTAAATCATCTAATTTCTTCCTGTGGATCCCCAGCTCCTCGCACGCTGTTAGCGACCGTTAAATTTACCAGCTGAACCTTTCCAGGTTGAGTACGTCAGTCTCCGCTCCTAACAGCCCACCCATGCTTTCATCATCATCACAGCCTTACCTGGTAAAATGCTCATCTGACCCTTCTGTGGGAGCAGGATTAGAGAGGTCAGTGAAGACGTCCACCAGCAGACTGGCTCCTGATGAAGGGGTGGAGTTTAGATTCAGTGCGTCGTTAAAGCCGAGGCTGGGACTCTGCAGGAGGAACATCATCAGATCACAGTTTTGCACAGAATTGGTAAATCGCCTGCATTCTTAAGGGCTGGTTATCCTCCCAGCAGCAGTGTGTCACAGTGAGCTTGTTGCAGATATTGATATTGATTTATGCTCGTTATTGAACCTATTGTTACCTATAAACTACTTGCTAATTAGGCTACAAAGGTTTATGGTTTTATTGTGAGAAACTGGAACAAAGTTCTAAAGGGATGACTTGTTGCAAAGCGCTGGAACCCTTGCATCCAGGGTTCAGGGGTCACCCTTAAGGGCGCCAGCCTTAAAGCCAACCTTCTATATCTCTGTAAAGGTTGTTTTCAATCATGTAAAGAACTTGGTCCCTTTCCTCCATATCTCCTCTCTAAAGTTGTTTCTCATGCATGAAGGAAGATGCAAAATTGAGACATTGAAGCATCTGCACATGCATTCTACCGTGGTTTGGGTGAAGGGCATGGTGGCGCTACAGGAGGAGGGGTGGGGTCTGTCTGTGCAAATGAGGTCTTCCAGCAGGAAATTAGACGTCTGATGGACAGAAAGCAAAAACAGGAGAAGAACTACAGACTGAGAAGCATAGAGAAAACAAGATAATGGTGGAAATCAAGGAGTCCAGTGATGCTCAGGAGGGCATCTAGAATAAGTAGGGTTGGAAATTGATAAGATTCTCACAATTTCGATTCCTTATCGATTCTCTTATCAATTCTCATCACAGTCATCTACATGTAATGGAGAAGGCATTCGTTTAATGAAAAAGCATTACTGTACAATTTTGCGAAATAAACTCATCTCCCCCTGATTTAAATAAAAGAGCATCACCTTTCTCTTTCGCTCCCTGAACTGCGGAGCAACTTGGTAGCATGTTTCGTTACATCGTTTGCAATAGCTGGAATCGTGTAAGAATTCCAGCTAGCAGTAGTTGTAATTAAACATGCTAGCAATGAAGGGCTGGATTAATGAGAAAGGCACACTCCCTTAATAACCCCAAAGAGAGGTAGGAGATTGGTTTATTTCCAGAAATCTCATATGATTTACTAGGAACCACATTAAGCACAGCCAGTGATATAAAACTAGCTACTTACCACCAGAGTTGCTTTCCATGCTGGTCGGAAGCATCAAATACACGGCATTTGTTAAAAAGTATGCCATGTTGTGTGCACAGGTGTTTTTTTCTACATGTTGGATGTGGATGTAATTGCCACTTTGCTGTGATTCCAAATCACCTTGTTATCATCTTTTTTTTCCTTAAAATGAAGCCAAAGTTTTGATTGCTTTACCCGATGGGACGCCATTTTTTTTGTTTTCCTTTTCTAGACTTACGCCTGCTTATGGAATGCCGTGTGCGTAACGTGTTAAAAACGTGACCTAAGTCGTGCTTCCCAGAGCCCTAGGCTCTGGTGCTGCCTGGAATCGATAAGAGAATTGTTAAGCGCGCTGCCGAACGGTGCCATGGAATTGGAACACACGGAACCGGTTCTGCACAGGAACCAGTTTTCGATTCCCGTCCCTAAGAATAAGTATTTACATACTTTGATTTATTTATGATACCTTGCTAGCTGGTTGGGTCTCCTCAGTGTGTTCGGCGTTGCCGTTGACAGTCCGTCGGGAATCGTCCATGTCAGGCAGTTTGCTGGAGCCCTTCTTCTTCTTCAGCTTAGCCAGGATGGACGACTCCCTCTCTGGGAATGGAGGCATTTCTTCTAAGACTGTGGCCTGTGAGCAAAGAGAAAACAATGCAGGCAATTGTTGAAATTGGCAGTAGATTCTCTAATTGCAGTTTTATGATGTCACTTTTGAGACATTTTTCTTCCTCTTAATCTGAGAGGTGTGGTGGTTAGAACCCTTACTAGAAAATACTGACATTTATTTAGACAGAACTACACATTTTGGGTAAACAGGAGGAGCTGTCCTCACATTAAGATAGATCTGAACAACCTATAAGGCCAGTTTTTTTTTTTTTACAAGACTAAATGCTGAAAACAGTTCAAAAAGTGCAAAGGCAAGCATCCTTTCTCATTGTACAAATTATAATACACTATATTGCCAAAAGTATTTGCTCACCTGCCTTGACTCACATATGAGCTTAAGTGACATCCCGTTCCTAATCCATAGGGTTCAATATGACGTCGGTCCACCCTTTGCAGCTAGAACAGCTTCAACTCTTCTGGGAAGGCTGTCCACAAGGTTTAGGAGTGTGTTTATGGGAATTTTTGACCATTCTTCCAGAAGCGCATTTGTGAGGTCGCACACTGATGTTGGACGAGAAGGCCTGGCTCTCAGTCTCCGCTCTAATTCATCCCAAAGGTGTTCTATCGGGTTGAGGTCAGGACTCTGTGCAGGCCAGTCAAGTTCATCCACACCAGACTCTGTCATCCATGTCTTTATGGACCTTGCTTTGTGCACTGGTGCACAGTCATGTTGGAAGAGGAAGGGGCCAGCTCCAAACTGTTCCCACAAAGTTGGGAGCATGGAATTGTCCAAAATGTCTTGGTATGCTGAAGCATTCAGAGTTCCTTTCACTGGAACTAAGGGGCCAAGCCCAGCTCCTGAAAAACAACCCCACACCATAATCCCCCCTCCACCAAACTTTACACTTGGCACAATGCAGTCAGACAAGTACCGTTCTCCTGGCAACCGCCAAACCCAGACCCGTCCATCAGATTGCCAGATGGAGAAGCGCGATTCGTCACTCCAGAGAACGCGTCTCCACTGCTCTAGAGTCCAGTGGCGGCGTGCTTTACACCACCGCATCTGACGCTTTGCATTGCACTTGGTGATGTATGGCTTGGATGCAGCTGCTCGACCATGGAAACCCATTCCATGAAGCTCTCTGCGCACTGTTCTTGAGCTAATCTGAAGGCCACATGAAGTTTGGAGGTCTGTAGTGATTGACTCTGCAGAAAGTTGGCGACCTCTTCGCACTATGCGCTTCAGCATCCGCTGACCCCGCTCCGTCAGTTTACGTGGCCTACCACTTCGTGGCTGAGTTGCTGTCGTTCCCAAACACTTCCATTTTCTTATAATACAGCTGACAGTTGACTGTGGAATATTTAGGAGCGAGGAAATTTCACGACTGGATTTGTTGCACAGGTGGCATCCTATCACAGTTCCACGCTGGAATTCACTGAGCTCCTGAGAGCGACCCATTCTTTCACAAATGTTTGTAAAAACAGTCTGCATGCCTAGGTGCTTGAATTTATACACCTGTGGCCATGGAAGTGATTGGAACACCTGATTCCAATAATTTGGATGGGTGAGCAAATACTTTTGGCAATATAGTGTATATGTTGACACAAAAAGCAGTGATGCCTAAATGTAAGGATTAAATAATAATGAAACCTTTAGCCCCTTTAACACATAATGCTCAGTTCTTAACTGGGTTCTTTACTGTAAACAACAATTATTCGGCTTTCACACAAACAAATTGGTCCCCTTAAATTACAGGGTCGTCACTTTTAACGCTTTACCTGGTAACGGAGGAATGGATGTACCTAATATAAAGAGTAGGTGATAAAAAGGCTTTAAATTAATCCAAAATATGTATTTTCAATGTTAAAAATAACAAGGTAAAAATACTGTAAGACGTTTATTTTTTAATAAATGTTAATAAAATATTGTCACACAGAGGTCGTAATTTTGTTCATTCTTCCTGTAGCGCCAGCCCCGTCCAGATAAAAATAGCCATTAGTAATGTTCAACCTTTTCACTATGAATCAGTGTGAGCTGAATTTGGTGAGAATGTGGAAATCACAAGACGCCATTAAGAGGAGGAGGAGGGGAGAGTTGACTGAGGAAAGCTGGTATTTGTTCTGCTGCTGCTGCTAGGAGATGCTAACCCAGATGGAGAGCTATGCTACAAAGAGTTCCAGTTTCTAAGTGAGGCTGTTAGCGATTAGCATCAGGATCAAAACTTTTTCTCAGATATATCAGAACTATGAGTTAACTAATGTTAGCTCTAGCTAACGAAATAAACAGTAGATCCTCAGCCAATCTCATTTGTTTATTTCATCACATATCTCATGTATAACGGGCACAAAAAGTTTGAGGCAGACCTAACCATAGACATCTATATGATTGCTGGAACTCTTATGGTGGCTTAACTGATGGCATCGCCGGCGGCCATCTTACTAAAGGTGAACGATTGGCACAAACACAAATCCACTTATTTAACCGAAATCTAGACAAATTTAAAAATGGTTTGGCTTCTTACAAATGTTATTAACGTGGCTACGATTCTGGATTCTAGAACATGTTGAAATGGCAGTATTTCCTTTTCACCGTATTTTCACGACTATAAGACGCACTTAAACGTCTTTTTTTTCCCTCAAAATGTGCGGTGCGCCCTTTGGTGCGGTGCGCCCTATGTGTGTTGTAACTGCGACTTTTGAGACCACCTCATTGAGGAGATGATGAAAGAGTGGCTGAATGTAAGGAGACCAGGTGTTTTTTTTTCCACTCATCACCATCGCTGTTAATATGTAACTCCATGCGTGCCCATCTCACAGCTGATGTGAAAAACATGGGGAAACAAATTAACGCTGTGCTCGCTGTTCAACCGCTCGACATCGGTGTGAACCGGACGCAGCAGGTGCAGCAGAAGCAGCGAGTTTACATGCAAAGTCAATGGTTGACGCGCGTATAGGTGCAGCAAAAGGTCCCGCAGCGCGTTTTGAGCAGCAGGCGCAGCGCGTCGGGAGCGTTTAAGCATCTGCCAACGCGCTGCTGCTGCTCAGATGGAAAAATTGAAGTTTTGCTGCTGGACGCGCCGCATCAACCAATCAGAGAAGCTGATCTGGGAGCTGACAGCGAGACAGACACAGCGCTCTGATTAACGCAAATGAAAAAGGCTGGATGGATGAGGAGATGATGAAAGCGTGGCTGAGGCAGGTGTATGTGAGGAGACCAGGTGGTTTTTTCCACGCATCACCATCGCTGCGTGCCCATCTCACAGCCGATGTGAAAAAAAAAGGTGAATCAAATGAACGCTGTGCTCGCTGTTATCCAGGGGGTCTGACAAAGGAACTTCAACCGCTCGACATCGGTGTGAAGCGGCCGTTCAAAGTAAGGCTGCGAGCGGTCGTGGGAGCGATGGATGACAGACGGAGAGCACAGTTTCAGGATAAGTGGAAGGCAGCGCCGGGCAATTAACGCCACAGTTTGCGGATGGATTGTAGATGCTTGGACTAACGTGTCTGCTGGCTCTGTTGTTCAAGCTTTCGCAAAAGCTCATTTCCAAGGAGCCGCCCGGCACGGAAAGTGACTCTGACAGCGAAGAAGGGGAAATTGGCATGTCTGATTTAGCGCAGCTGTTTAATTCAGAAACAGAGGATGATGACTTTGATGGGTTTGATTAATACTTTGTAATAAATACATGAATAAAGCACAATCATACTCAGTTTTGCTCCCGCTCTATTTTTCAACCTGAAAACTTAATTCAACAGCAGCCTCTGGGCGGGTCTCCTCTGGTTTCACCGCGGCGGCTGGCAGGTGTTTTTCATCTAAATAATTTAAACTGCAGGCACCAGGATACCGGTAATAAAAGCGAACATATTCCGTCGGCAGGTTTCAGGATTTTAAGTTAATTTAGGAGTGATCACAGCGCTCTGTCATCTGCGATGTGTCTGTCTCACGGCCAGCTCCCAGGTTTGATTAATACTTTGTAATAAATACATGAATAAAGCACAGTCATACTCAGTTTTGGGCCCACTGTATTTTTAAATACGCAGTAGAGGTATTTAAAGGTAGTAGAGGACATGTACCTGTATATAAAAAACGCGCCCTATAGTCCGGTGCGCCTTATGTGTGTGTTAAATACAGAAATGGGACACATAACTGAGACTGCGCCTTTTAGTACGGTGCGCCTTATGGTCGTGAAAATACGGTAATATGACTTAACTGTGTAGGACAGTTGTGCCTCTCAGGTAAAGCTAGCTAACATCATGTTATCAAGGCTGAGACCACAATTAGAATTTAATGGCAAGGTTTTATAAACAACAATGATGACTCTATAATCATAGTGTCTACGGCCTTTCAATGAGGTGGTATTAGCTGAAGTTTTTTCCCTTAATCATAGTTGCTAAAATAATGGAATGTAATTTTCCAAACTATGTTGCTACCAGCTTAGCAAGTATGATTTTAATAAACGTGCCCTGTTTAAAACGTAAAAACAATCTACCTCTACTGTATAACCAGGATGTACAGCAACTATACCTATCTCTATAGTTATGCTGCTGTATAGAGACCCTTTTTTATCATATCTCTATTCTCGCACTCTGCAGAATTGCTTTTTCTCACAGTAGCTTCATCTGGCCAGTTCCTGCTATGCTGCTGCTATAAACACCCTTGTTTAAAGATGTTTGAGCTCAGGCTATTTTACAGTGTAGTCCTGTTTCTCTGACTGTGACTGGCTGGATGTGCTCTCTTCGTCCTCTGACCTGGGAGCTGGCTCGGAGCTCGTCTGCCTGGCTGTGGAGCTGGTTGACAGTTACCTTTTTTCTATCTCTTCTTGTTTTTCTATGTCTGCTTCTGTCTCCTTGAACCCCAGTCGGCTTCAGCAGATGGCCGCTCACACCCAGCCTGGTTTTGCTGGGGGTTTTTTTCTCATTAAAAGGGAGTTTTTCCTCTCTACTGTCGCTACAAGCATGTTTGGCGTGAGGGATTGCCTTCAAGTCAATGAATCGATGTAATCAACTGGTTTGCCTTAGATAGAAAACTTTAAATCAATTTGACTGGATGATCTGGTGAACTGTAAAGTTCCTTGAGATGACATGTTGTGAATTGGCGCTATAGAAATAAACTGAATTTAACTGAATGAGGAGAAAACCCATCTTCAGTATTTACATTTTTTACAGTATTTGCATCAGACCGAAGCTCTTTTTGCAGAGTTTTTACTAACCAGAATGTCTGTGCTGGCGATGCAGCTGAGCCGGAGGTATTCCACAGCTCGCTGCTGTAGCTCCACATCAGCGTTGCGGAGCTGGCTGTCTGAACGGAGGACATCCTGGATCGTGCCTTTAACCTCCGGGAACAAGTTGATGAACTTGATGTAAGCTGAGAGCAGCAGAGCCCGAGTTGGTACCGAACACAAGTGGAACTTTGAATGTAGAAGATTGAACTGGACCAGAGGGCTGGAAATAAAGATATGATAGAAAATTAAACCTTGAAAAACAAGTCTGTTGCATAAAACTGCATTGTTAAAAATTGATTTAAAGGCTAATTAACATGCAATTATTACAACATTTCTCACATTAAATGAAAAAAAGGTTTTAAAAAGTCTGTATGTTTGCACACAGGTTTTTTTTTTTTTTTATAAATGTTAAAATTTTTTAAAGGTTAAAAGATAAGGTGCTAAAATATCCACTGATGCAGTCAGTACCTGGACCGTGGGTCACCAGCAATCAAGTTTCCAAACTCCCCAAGAATGTAACCTCCCACCTTCACCAGATTCTCATGACAGGCTGGAGCCTGGAGGGCCTACAGGGTATCAACATGGAAGGGAAAAACATTTACTGTGAGGAAAGAAAAGATACACAACAGAAACAGTGTCCCCAACAAGCAAAACACTGAGCTCAACAGCTACCAATAGAGGCCTAGATTATGATGGTCAATAAGATGAAACTAGTGTTTCAGGAGAAACACTGAAAGGACAGATAGGAGGTAAAAAGCTGAAAAAATCTGCTGATCACTGAGGATTGATAGGAAAATAGATAAGGGAAAAGAGGCTTAGATTTTTCAAAATACTCAGTATGTTATTGTCAGATAAAAAGCCTAATTCATTTGTTCCCTGTGAGAGATCCAGATTTTGGAATGTATTTAAGTATTCTTAATTTAAGTTCAAGTTTGTAGCCTAGTGGTTATAACATGTCTTAGATGTTTAGTTTGATGAATATCCAATTTATTTTAAAGGAAAAGTCCGGTCATATTCAGAATTCAAACTTCTGAAAGTACTTTAAATATGAAATTATTTCATACTGTTCAATAAATGATAAGTGTTTTAATTAAGAGTAATTTTCATTTAAATGTGCTTTACTGGAGGCATCCATGTTTGTCAAAGAAAACTACTGCTACCTGCTGGTTTGTGACGTCACGGTGCGGTATCGGCTGTTGATCAAGTCCCAGTGCTGTATCTGGTGTTTGTCACTATTATCCAAGTCATCATGAAAACATTCTTCTTCCAAATGTTGGCTACATATTACGTGTTTTTTCTCTGGCTTGAAGTTCGATGGCAAATCCTCCCTCTTTAAGTTGACAATCCAACGAAGAAACCAGCCGTGGAGGATCAGGAATCGGAAAGATGTACAGTATTACAACATGTTGGAGATCAGCCTGTTTTTCCAGTGTAGTCCTGTTTCTCTGACTGTGACTGGCTGGATGTGCTCTCTTCATCCTCTGACATGGGAGCTGGCTCGGAGCTCGTCTGCCTGGCTGTGTGTTTCCTGGACGGGGCCGCCTTTTACAGCTGCTTTTTGTATCTCTGCTTCTGTCTCCTTGAACCCCAGTGGGCCTCAGCAGATGGCCGCTCACACTGAGCCAGGTTCTGCTGGAGGTTTCTTCCTGTTCAAAGGGAGTTTTCCTCTCCACTGTCGCTACAAGCATGCTTAGTGTGAGGGATTGCCTTCAAGTCAACAAGTCGATGCAATCAACTGGTTTTCCTTAGATAGAAAACTTTGAATCAATTTCACTGGATGATCTGGTTGAACTGTAAAGTGTCTTGAGATGATATGTTGTGAATTGGCGCTATAGAAATAAACTGAATTGAATTAAATTGATTGCGACTGCAATTATTGTTTTAATTTTTTAACTGATTAACACTAAATTAATTAAATCACCGCAGTTTTAGGTATAGATAATGATCCATTGATCATTCCCTGCTGACTGGATTTTTCCTTTAAAGTCCAAGATATTTCAGTTTGCATCGTTAAAAAATGGGATAGAAAACTTTGTTGTTTTTCTTTGTTTACTTGGTTTTTAAATTATTGTACAATATTTCTTTGTAGTGAGCGGATGTTAATAAAAATATCTCGTGTGTGGTTGTGTGTCTACTTGTATAAGGGTAAAATATGTAATAAACAGGAAAGCTATAACTACAAATATTACCTTTAATTGTATCATCAAACATGCTGAAGATTGAAAAGGACCATGAAAGAGAAAGTAATATGAGCCGTTTTAAAACAGACACACGTTAACTACTCTCTGTGCACATCACATATCTCAATATTATATCAAACATTTTCAATACAACTAGGGCCCAATATGTCAACAATGAGTTCATGCTCCTCTGCACTTCTTGTTTGCTTTTTATAAGCTTATAGATTCTCTCCAACTCGCATTTGGACCCTTCTCTGTGCTCATGTCAACTTTTGTCAATTTGAAGGTGAAACCAATCTGACAACATCAACTTTGATTGGCTACTTTTCCATAAATCCCACCTCTTGAGACAGTTTTTTTCTTTCAACTTGTCTCTATGAACACTAGCAAAGCATATTCAGGCTAATAGTTGTCTTCAAGAGAAGATTTTTTATTGATAACCAAACGTTATCTTTGTCAACAGCTAACAGTTTTATAAACACAATACTGGTCATAAAAGGAAAAGTTTTTAGCAGTAAAAGCAAACTGATAGTAAATATCTGTGGCCTGTAATAAATGAGGGATCATTTAAGTCTCATTTTCCTAAGCATTAAAGTCGTAGGGAAGCGGCTGTTCCAAACGCTGCAGTTCCAGATTCTCCCCGACTGGTGCTTTACTTTACACGAGTGAATAAAGTGAATGCGAATGGTCATTTATCAAGGGAGCGGGATTGTTGTGGCGGAAGGTTTGCAAGCAAGTTTGATTGTGGGTGGTTTGTTGGAAGCATCTTGCTAACCAGTTAGCAACTTAGTGCTAGTAGGTTCCCAATAGGAAATTCCATTGGGACCAAGTAGCACTAAATTGGTGACTTAGACACAACACTGTCAAGGAAGCTCAATTTAACCCAACTGATCGAAAAAAGCTGTTTTTTGTAATTTCTCTGTTCTTTTCTGGATATAAGCTCAACATTTTTTATTTCCCTATTCTATATTTATCTCATCTTGAAAGGTATTGAACACAAATTAAGTACATTAGATACTCTGTATCATTATTAATACGATGCGGGGAAATATTTTGGTACCCACCTCAAAAACAGTCTTTGCAGCATAGCCTTGGACGTCGTCCTGGTTAATGACGATCTGGATCACACGGTACCACACCTCTTCACTCACATAGTCGCCAGCAATGCGGATCAGGTTGAGAATGGTGTCTACGTACCAGGTGTAGTCGACCGCATATTTCTCTGCCAGGATCGCCACCTTCAGCACCTGTGGGTGACAGTTCAGCGGCTGAGGAGAGGATCTTCCTCTCAGAGACTTAATGCTGAACGGGTAAGTTTTCAATGGCCTACGATCTCCTCTCTGATGGAGTAGTCTGCCGTCTCCAAATAGCTCAGCATCTCTGCTACTATCTGCTTGGAGTTGCTGCGGTCACACATGGCGTAAAGCAGGTCAACGGCCCGCTGGCGGACGCTCACGTCTCTCTCAGTCTGCATAAAGAAAACAAGAAGCAAAGACTTTAACTTTGGATCCTAAGGAGGTCTTCTGTCGGGTGAGCATACCCCGTCAGACCAGCATACCCATAGTCAATACGCATGCGCAAGACGTCAGATTTGTGTTTCTCCCTTCAGTTTTTTTTTTAACAGCAGGGGGATATCCACCCTGGCCGCATCTTGACATCGCCTTTGGTCAGACCCATCATGTGGTCCAGAAGCTCACCTTCAGGGCGTTGATGACAGTCTCTATGTGCGTCTTCACAGCCTCGTGGGAGAACTCGGAGCTGGCCAGCGTACACATGCTCTCCAAGGCCAGGTAACGGAGGTTGGTCTCCCTGTGCTGCAGGAAATGGCCCAGCTGGTTGCAGGCTCGGACCAACAGGTTGGGTTCGCTGAGAGACAAAAAACAAAAACAGCTTTGACTTCAGGACGCAATAAACAAGCCAGATGCCAGCACTGACAAAGGGGCGTCCCCTGTTCCCCCTACAGTTAGACCATCATCACAGGCAATGAATTTCACTCACTTGCACTTGTTTTGGACCCTAGCACTCGGTTAAGCGCATTCACATGTGAGGTTAGTTTGTCCCAATAGTTATAGGAGCTAGGGAGAAGTGCCCTTCGACCCTTAAAATGATCCCTTCAGATTGAGTGAGGTTTGGAGCCAACTTGGGAATGAGGTGACTTCCCAGAATACTTTGCGAACTCATTCAACAAGACGAGAAATGGCATCCCGCCGTGGGATAGACATGCGCAAATGTGAGTATATTATATTATATATATATAATTCTGGCACGACTGGAGAATCGGCCCAAATAGGGCAAAAAATTGTACAGTGTATTAGAGACTGACACGGGAGTGGATTTTCATTCCTGTCCCGTCCCACTCCCACAGAAAAAAATTGTGTCCCGTCCCGATCCCGTCCAGAGTAGAAATCTAAATCCTGTCCCGTCCTGGTGAAGTTACTCCCACTCCCATCCCGCTCCCACTCAGAATGACTCCTGCTCCTGCACCACTCCCATTCTTGTTTTTTTTTCCTAGCGCGGGTGGAAAAACTCAGAGCGGAAGCACTGTTGGTTTTTGGGTCGTGTCGTTTTTTTTGACTCGCATTATAGTGTAGGCTTCAAGGAAAAAACTACAAAATGGCAGCGGCGCGCCAGTGCTGGATTTTTTTTCCTTTCTATTTTATTTTATTTTTTGGCATCGATCCTAGTTTTTTTTTTTTTGTTATTAATGGTTTGCTCCCGCTCCCGTCTGCTCCCCTTAATGTTTAATCCTGTACCGTCCCAATCACGTGATCGTTACTAATACTGACTCCCATCCCACGGGAATCCCACGGAAATCCCGTGACCCATGGGATTCCCGAAAAAATTTCAGTCTCTACAGTGTATGCAGGGCTTTATTCATGAGGTGTTTGCAAAAGATTTATATTTTAAAATTAGCAAATTTTTAAAATGTAGTTTTTGAATTTTTTTTTATAAATGCACAAATTCTTTTCAAATCCAGATTTGACCCTCTTTAATTCATGGTGGTATGTGTTATATATAAGTTATATATATAACTTATAATTCATTAATGGCACCTGTTTGAACCCGTTATCAGTATAAAAGACACCTGTCCACAACCAGACTAAATACTTTTTTGCCCCACTGTATATATATAAAACGTATATATATATATATATATATATATATATATATATATATATATATATATATATATATATATATATATATATAAAACTTATATATATAACTTATATATAAATTATTATATATTTATATATAAATATTTTTTTTTACTGTATATAAATAAAAAACTATTTTGGGGGCTAAGGAGTTTTTGTATTTTTTTTTTTTTAAACAAACTTTCTTGGAAAAACAACAACAAGTGGGTTTCCTACTTTCAGTAATATTGGAACTAATTTCTCTTAATGTTCCTGTCGCTGACTGAAGGCTTCCTGCTTTGTTTCATTCATCTGTATCCATCATGGAAGGAAGGAAGGAAAAGCAGGTAAACAAAGGAGGAGCAGAAGGAAACCAACCTGTCATGGTGGATGATGAGGGCGATGGCTTCAAACAGGACAGCGTTTTTGGCGTTGGAGTGCTGTACCTTCTTAGATTTGGGCGGCTCCTGAGCCTTATTGAGGATGGTCTCCAGACACTCTGTCAGACGACTCTGCAGCGCTGCGTCCTCTGCAACATCACAACATTTTTTGCACTCATGTCCACTCGGCCTACAAAGAGTTTCAGAGGTGATCTGTTGGTGCCGTCAGGCCTGCTGCTCTGTACCGTACCGGGGGGAGGGTAGCACTGCAGGAGGCGCAACAGTTTTACCGACAGCCACGGCGCAGCAACAAAGTAGTAGGTATAGTCCTGCAGGTCGAGGGACGCAGAAGTCACGATCTGTGGAAAAGAAAGAGATCCCGATGGTGAAATCCAGTCTGAACCAGAACAGACGATGTCGGAGACGGTCAGAGCGGTACCCACCCTGCTGAGCCTGGCCACAGCCAGACACACGGAGGTTTTGAAGTCATCAGGACTCTTCTGGGCCAGAGTGGTGATGAGGCTGGTGGCTGCGGTGACCACTCCCTGAAAACAGGAACAGATCCTGGTGAGGAAGCCGACTCCATAGCCCATTTACACTATCCTGTTGAAACCGTGCCGAGATTGGGCCCAGCAAGGTAACAGAGATAACTGTTGAGTGTAAATGGCACGCAGAACTGAACCGGACCACGCCAGATACAACCAAACCGCGCTAAACTGGTACTAGTTCATCAGTAGGGCTCGGCGTGGTTCAGTTGACTTAGATTTATGCTACGTTTACACCGCAAACAGCAGGAGCAGCAAAAACACAACTGTTGCTTTATTTTTGATACTTGTACAAGTTTAGTTCTGACGAGCAGCTGAAGCATCTTTGCTGCTCTAGCTGTGCGGTGGAACATGGCTCTAATGCGTGTTGGGCGGAGGCCACCCTATCCTTCCTTTGCCTCTAACAATGCCAGCTATATTTGCTGTGATCAGTGGGTAAAAAGTAGTTTTAATGTTTTTAAGTGAGAAAATCCACCTGAAAACTTAATCTGTCAATGTCAATGTCAAATTTATTTATATAGCACTTTAAAAACAGGTATAAAACTGCACCAAAGTGCTGTACAGGACAAACAATAGTACTAATTAATAAAAACAGATTATGAAAACACTTCAAGTAAATGCCAAAGAATAAAAATGAGTTTTAAGAAGCGATTTAAAATGATCCAGGCTGTGGGCAGATTTAATTTGAAAAGGTAAATTGTTCCATAAAATTGGAGCAACAACAGAAAAAGCCCGATCTCCTTTCCTCTTAAGTCGGGTCCGAGGGACTGTCAGTAATAGCTGATTATTTGATCGTAAGCTTCTGGATACAGAGTGAAATTTTAAAAGGTCCCGAAGATAGGGAGTAGCTAATCCATTTAAAACCTTATAAGTTAATAAAAGAATCTTAAAATCTATTCGATAAAAGACGGGCAGCCAATGTAAAGATTCCAGTATGGGCCTTATATGGTCACGCTTCCTGGTTCCTGTAAGAAGCCGTGCCGCTGCGTTCTGGATCATTTGAAGTCGCTGAATCTGTGATTTATCCATGCCTCTATATAATGAATTGCAATAATCCAACCGAGATGTGATGAAAGCATGGATAAGTCCTTCAAAGTACTTAAAACAAAAATAAGATTTAATTTTTGCTAAAATCCGCAGGTGATAAAAACCGGATCTAACAACAGAGCTAACTTGTTTGTCTAGCTTTAAACAGCTATCAAAAGTGAAACCAAGATTCCTAGCAGAGGTCTGACAAAACTGAGCTAAAGAACCAAGAATCAGATCTGGATTTGTAGTCTGAGGACTTTGACCAAATAATAAAACTTGGGTTTTACTGTGATTGAGGTGAAGAAAATTTTGTTCCATCCAAGATTTGACTTCAGCTAAACAATCCATCAATAGCTGAAGAGATTCAGTTTTAATCTGTGCAGTAAGTTCATCCAGATTATCATCCTGCCTTTAAATATTATTTATCTGTCAGAGCCACTCAGACCCTGTACACCAGCGGTGCGCTGTCACTGGGAATCCCCTTCAACAGCAGCCTCTGGCCTCACCTCTTTGCGGTTTTGCCAATTCTGTTCGCAGCGACCGGACGTAGATCTTAGCGTTTTTCATGTAGGTAATCCGAAATGCAGGCATCAACATATTTTGCTGGCAGATTTCAGTATTTTAAGTTAATTTAGTGATCATGGTGCTCTGCATAAGCAGTGCTGTCTGTCTCCCTGCCAGCTCCTAGATCAGCTTCTCTGATTGGTTGATGCGGCGTGTCCAGCAGCAAAACTAAAATTTTTCAGCTTCAGCAGCTCCTGCTTTTGTAGCACGTCACACGCTGTAGATGCTCTGAAGCTCGTGAAGCGCTGCTCCTGCTAGTCATAACGAACTGCAGGACCTTTTGCTGCGCTGACCATTTACTTTGCGTGTAACTAGCTGCTTCTGCTGCTTTAGGTGTGAACGTAGCTTTAGACTTAAAGTTTGTCATTTTGTACATACAGTGCATACAAAAAGAATTTTTTTTAGTACAGCTCTCAAGACATTTCCCTTTTTAAAGTGCAGCTGTGATAAAATGTAAACATAAGACTGTTAAGTGTTTTGATGCCATATTCCCTGAAATAGTCGAGAGCTGTTCTTGGCTGCTGCCTTGAGGCGCCGCCACGTTCTCAGATAACAAAGAGTGCATGAGCAGACCATGTCATCTTCTTACAGTCAGTCTCCGTAATCAGGAAATTCCAGACATTCATACAAATACTAGCTTCTCTAGCGCGCCACAGGATTTCCAGAAAGGATTTTGCTCAGCGAGTGATGAACCTCAACGTCTGTCATTGTTTCCTGCATCAGTTAGCCTGATTAGACTATTGTTAGTCGTATCCACTTCCCAGAAGTCAAGTAAATTCACCAAAGGCTGCCTTCTTCACCTGACTCTCTGGAAACTTCCACAATGTTCCAGGCGCCTACATGTTGGTTTGCTTGTTTACCTCTAGAGAGAAGTAGTACCATAGATTGGCACTAGGAGGCGAGGAACCGCGCTAGCGTGGTGTGTAAACGGTCTTAAGGAACCAAGAACTGTTAACTGATCCAAGCTCGGTCCCAACTCGGCACAGATTGGTTTCACAGGGGTAGTGGAAAGGGGGCTAATGTCTCAGTTTCTCAGGGAGCTGATTCAATACCAACAGAGCCTTCGTTTGGACCCGGACCGCTGTTCAAGAACAGCACCAAATGATGCAGATGGAGAACATTTATCTTTAATTGAGGCTACATTATTAGCAGCAAATTAGGAAAATGTTTCCTAAAACATGAGGAGTTATAATGTCTCTTTTTTCTTACTCTTCAGTTTCAGACTTAAAGGCGTAGGGAAATCAAATTTAAATGTCAAATCATTCTGGCTTAAACATGTATATAAAATGTATTCATCTTTTATCAAATGCATTTATCTTTTATTGTCCCAAAATGTAGAACATTTCTATTTTTTTTTTTAAATCCTGTCTTAAAGTCTGTTTTTTTTTTTTTTTTATTATCTTCTGCAGGCCAGTTAGTTATACATCAGCCTGAACACCTAAATTCAGCCAATCATATATCAACCGTCATCTGTCAATCAAATTTTTTTGGTCACAGCATCTTGATTCATATGTCGCAGCTAATATACACAACTGTTGAAATAATTAAGGTCCATTGAGTTCCGTCCCAGTGTTCACGGGGATGAACGTCTGTGTCTTCAACAGGCGTAGAGCTAACGGAACCGGCAGCGTTGCGAGGCAAGGGCTCAAACATGTATAATAAAAAAATGGATGACGGAGGAGACTCATCCACGACCTCCGACACTAAACTCTCCTCCTCTTGCATGTTTCCTCTGTCCATAGCGTTCCTTGACAGTGTCGTTTCTAAGTCACCAATTTAGTGCTACTTGGTCCCAATGGAACCTACTAGCACTAAAATGCTAACTGGTTAGCAAGATGCTTCCGAAAAACCGGCCTCAATCAAACTTGCTTGCGAACCTTCCGCCACAACAATCCCGCTCCCTTCATAAACGACGAATCACATTCACTTTATTCACTCGTGTAAAGTCGGTACCACTCGGGAGAATTTTGAAATGCAAAGGTTGGAATAGCTGCTTCCCAACAACTTTAAATTGAAAACCGCTCAGCTCTCCACCATATTTCTTCCTCTCCGCTTACATGCCCTGATCAGATATCAGCCAAGCACATGTCATGAGCACATTTATAAACATGTTTAAGCGAGAATGATTCGACATCTAACTATGATTTCCCTACGACTTTAATAAATCTGCAGCTAAAGCAGACTGGGAACAGACCATTACAAGTTGCTGTCGTTGGTAGAATGAGAGAGATGATGAGATGGGTTTGGTATTCACCAAAAAGATTGAATTAATAATTTTCAGCTTATTTAATCTTTTAAACAGCAGAGTCTACAAGTTGTGTTTATCAGTGTTTTTACGCACCAGTAAAACCAGTATCTACTTCAGTTCTGCAGCAGAGGAACTCCCAGTCTTACCAGGTGCTGATCATTGAGCAGGTGGACCACCCGCGCCGCCCACTCCCCCATCGGCACCAAGTCAGGAGACGTCCTGTTGAGCCGCAGAAGGCAGAGAGCGGCGCTCTGCTTCACGCTGTCCATGGTGTCCCTGGAACAGAAACATTAGGCAGCTTAGTCTTCTGTTACACAGCGGCTGGGTGTTACAGGAAGGTTACATTTCATGCTCACATTCTGGGGAAATTTTAGTCAGTTTATTTCTATAGCGCCAATTCACAACACGTCAACTCTAGACACTTTACAGTTCACCGGATCATCCAGATAGATTGATTAAATTCCTTTTCTAAGGAAAACCGTTTGATTGCATCGACTCATTGACTCAAATCCAATCCCTCTCACTAAGCATGCTTGTAGCGACAGTGGAGAGGAAAAACTCCCTTTTAACAGGAAGGAACCTCCAGCAAAACCAAGCTCAGTGTGAGCGGCCATCTGCCGAGGCCAACTGGAGTTCAAGGAGACAGAAGATCAAATTTGTATTTCATTAGCTGGATTCTAGATTCAGAACATTTCAGAGCATTAGCCGCTAGACTGAAATGATTTAGGATGAGACGCGTACATTTATCCAAACGTTTACGCAGCTCCCAACAACCAAGACAGAGGTTTAAAAATTGAAGAAAGGTTGTATTGAAGGGATCCATGATTAGTTGTAACAATGGGCTTCATTTGAGTAATATTTATTCTGTATATCAAAACAAAATACTACAAGCATAGTGAGGCCTTAATGTATGATGGCGTATTAGGGCCAGGCTAGGGATTTTTATGAGAATAAAGTGGTAACATTACGTGAATAAAGTCGTAATATTATGAGAATAAAGTCGTAATATTATGAGAATAAAGTCGTAACATTATGTGAATAAATTTGAAATATTATTAGAATAAAGTCGTAATATTATGAGATAAAGTCGTAACATTACATGAATAAAGTTGTAATATTATGAGAATAAAGTCGTAATATTATGAGAATAAAGTCGTAACATTACATGAATAAAGTTGTAATATTATGAGAATAAAGTCGTAATATTATGAGAATAAAGTTGTAACATTATGTGAATAAAGTTGTAATATTATTAGAATGAAGTCGTAATATTATGAGATAAAGTTGTAACATTACGTGAATAAAGTCGAAATATTATGAGAATAAAGTCGTAATATTATGAGAATAAAGTCGTAACATTACGTGAATAAAGTGGTAATATTAGAATGAAGTCGTAATTAGGGTTGGGAATTGAAAAGATTTTCACGATTCCGATTCTCTTTTCGATTCTATGAAACGATTCGATTCTTTTCGATTCTTTTTTCGATTCCAATTTGGGGGAAAAAGGAGAACAAACAGTTTGATTATCAGAATCCACTTTGTTTACTTAACTATTGCACAATCTTACAAACTCAACAAGATCAAGATGTCCACAGGAAATGTGAAACTGGAGTAACATCTGTGTTTAAATGAAAAATGAATACAAGAACAAACTTAATAACCAACAATGTCTAATAACAAATTATGGGATAATAACCTATTTTAAATAACAAAAAATACAAATTATAAAACAGTAGTAGGGAAAATTAACACTTCTTTTGCAGAAAGATGAGCATATCTGCTTTTCTGGAAGGATACGGGATCTTTCAGGGCTTATGGTGTCTCCAGCCGTGGAGAACACCCTCTCAGATGGGGTGGGGCAGCGTATCTTGCTTGTTCCACCACCCACAGTGTGGCGCTATCCCTGCAGGGGATGGAGGGCAAGCTTTTACAGAGCTGGATTTCCTGGTCTACCCTCTGGGCTAAGGAAAGACGGGGCTTTGATTCACAAAGTGACCGCAGCTCGTTGTCTTCCTCCTCGAATTGTTCTTCCAACTTGCGTAACTTGCGTAACTTACGTAACTTGCGTAACTTACGTAAAAAACGTGACGTAAGTCGTGCTCCCCAGAGCCGGCGCTCTAGGCTCTGGTGCTGCGGGAATCGAAAAAAGAATCGTTCAGCGAGCTGCCAAACGATGCCATGGAATCGGAAAATACGGAACCGGTTCTTAACAGGAACCGGTTTTCGATTCCCATGCCTAGTCGTAATATTATGAGAAAAAGTTGTAACATTACGTGAATAAAGTTGTAATATTATCAGAATAAAGTCGTAACATTACATGAATAAATTTGTAATATTAGAATGAAGTCGTAATATTATGAGATAAAGTTGTAACATTACGTGAATAAAGTCGAAATATTATGAGAATAAAGTCGTAATATTATGAGTTAAAGTCGTAACGTTACGTGAATAAAGTCGAAATATTATGAGAATAAAGTCGAAATATTATGAGAATAAAGTCGTAATATTATGAGAATAAAGTCGTAACATTACGTGAATAAAGTGGTAATATTAGAATGAAGTCATAATATTATGAGAAAAAGTCGTAACATTACGTGAATAAAGTCGTAATATTATGAGAATAAAGTCGTAACATTACATGAATAAATTTGTAATATTAGAATGAAGTCGTAATATTATGAGATAAAGTTGTAACATTACGTGAATAAAGTCGAAATATGAGAATAAAGTCGTAATATTATGAGACTAAAGTCATAATATTATGAGAATAAAGTCGTAACATTACGTGAATAAAGTCGTAATATGAGAATAAAGTTGTAATATTATGAGAATAAAGTCGCTACATTATGTGAATAAAGTTGTAACATTACGTGAATAAAGTTGTAATATTAGAATGAAGTCGTAATATTATGAGAAAAAGTCGTAACATTACGTGAATAAAGTTGTAATATTATTAGAATTAAGTCATAATATTATGAGATAAAGTCGTAACATTACGTGAATAAAGTTGTAATATTATAAGAATGAAGTCGTAATAGTATGAGATAAAGTCGTAACATTACGTGAATAAAGTTTCAGTTTCAAAATGCAAAAAAAAGCTCAAAAGGTGTGAATACTTTAGCAAGGTTCAGGATGAAGGCTGCGATATGAAGCAACTGACACTATGGAGTTAATTTTGTTCACATTTTGTTGAAGGAAAATATAAAAAAAATCAGTCCAGAAATGAAACTTTCAAACTTTTTTAATCTGAAAAATAGTTTTAAGAGAAACTTTGCATTTTTCTCAAAATGTTTTATTTTCAATTTTATTTTATGTATTTTGTCAACTTCTTTTTTTTCAGATTTTATATTGTATTATATTGTCATAATGTATCTTCTTTCAAAAAGATACATTATCCCTTTTTTTTTAAATAATGTTTTAGTATTTTATTAACTTTTTTTAATATTCCTCCTGTAATTTTTTCCCCCACTAATTGAAATGTCTTTAAATCCACATTAACATGAATTCAACCCACTGTAGTAAACAGATAAATGGAGGCAGAAGATGTCTTTCAGTCATTAATGCACACATTCAGCGAAACACAGGAGCTCTTTCATGCTGGACACTAGGGATGGGAATCGAAAACCGGTTCCTGTTCAGAACCGGTTCCGTATTTTCCGATTCCATGGCATCGTTTGGCAGCTCGCTGAACGATTCTTTTTTCGATTCCCGCAGCACCAGAGCCTAGAGCGCCGGCTCTGGGGAGCACGACTTACGTCACGTTTTTTTACGTACGTTACGTAAGTTACGTAAGTTACGCAAGTTACGCAAGTTGGAAGAACTATTCGAGGAGGAAGACAACGAGCTGCGGTCACTTTGTGAATCAAAGCCCCGTCTTTCCTTAGCCCAGAGGGTAGATCAGGAAATCCAGCTCTATAAAAGCTTGCCCTCCATCCCCTGCAGGGATACGCCACACTGTGGTGGTGGAACAAGCAAGATACGCTGCCCTTGCTATCTGACTGGCTGAAAACTACCTCTGTGTGCAGGCTTCCTCCACCCCATCTGAGAGGGTGTTCTCCATGGCTGGAGACACCATAAGCCCTGAAAGATCCCGTATCCTTCCAGAAAAAGCAGATATGCTCATCTTTCTGCAAAATAACTGTTAATTTTCCCTACTACTGTTTTATAATTAGTATTTTTTGTTATTTAAAATAGGTTATTATCCCATCATTTGTTATTAGACATTGTTGGTTATTAAGTTTGTTCTTGTATTAATTTTTCATTTAAACACAGATGTTACTCCAGTTTCACATTTCCTGTGGACATCTTGATCTTGTTGATTTTGTAAGATTGTGCAATAGTTAAGTAAACACAGTTGATGCTGATAATCAAACTGTTTGTTCTCCTTTTTTCCCCAAATTGGAATCGAAAAAAGAATCGATAAAGAATCGAATCGTTTCATAGAATCGAAAAGGGAATCGGAATCGTGAAAATCTTTTCAATTCCCAACCCTACTGGACACCGTTTCATTCACAACACCTGTCCCACCAGAAATACTTTAATAATCTCAGGGCGAAATTACTTTCATTACATTACTCCATCTGTAATTGTAGAGTTACTATAGGACCAGTTTGATATAACACCATTTCATACTATATTTATAATTGGGGGATCCTCGCTCCATCTCGCCATCAGTTTAGAAAATGTTCAAGACCCCTGCTTTAGAGAAAAGCCCGCCCCCAGGAGAAAAAAGAATTTGATCTAGGAAAACAGCGGCATAATTAGAAGCTCTGTTTCTGTCTGAATGAATCATTTCATACAAACCCCGCCACCAGGATCCTGGGAATTTCCGAAGCAAACGCCTCGGCCATCTCTCTGCTCCCCACATTGGCGATGCAGTGCAGAGCCAGGTTCATGAAGGTGGGATTGCGGCTGGCCAGGTCATTCTTAATGGCATTGTTGATCAAACGGATGAGGTCACTGTTGGAGTTCACCAGCACTGAGATGAACAAGTAGCCCTGAAAGAAACAAGAATAAGCACCACATGATGGAAAAACCGGAATGAGTCAAAACATCAGAAAAACTACAGTTGTTTGATAGTTTGATCTAACTATGTGATCTTAATCGTTTAATCTTAAATTAAAAGGAATTGGCTTAGCATGATATCTTTACTGTATTCCCACACAGACAGGGCCTTATTTAGAGCCAACGGTCCGACAGAGATGGGCGCTTCTATGGCAGAACCAGCTGTTTACACGTTAGTCTTCAGCTAACCGTGCTGAGCTCTGATCCTTAACACCATTTAAACCCCGTCGACACGAAGGGAAAACGTAGATTTTACCCTGCGGTTTGGCCTCTCATTTACACCAAGACCTTGTTTTTAATCACAGAAAACAATTAAATCTAAAACCTCTGGTAGGCTTGTCCCGATCCGATACGTGGATCGGATCGGGACGCCGATATTGGCAAAAAAATGCGTATCGGCAAAGCATGTAAAATGCCGATCCAGACTGCCGATCCAGTTTTTAAAAAAAAATCGGGTCCGTATTTTCCAGTTTCGCCGATTGAAACGATCCATTCCAGTATTTTGCGCCTGTGTTTCCCTGTTTTGCATTTTTATTAAAACTTACAGTAATACTTGCACCTTTAACTGTTTACGGTTTTACTGTTCACTGTGCAATTTCAGATTGCTATTCATAATTTTGTCCAGTTTGTGTTTATCTCTTAATAAACAGGTAAGTTTGTTGTTACCAAGCATTGTGTTTTATTCAATCTCACCTAATTTAGCTGGCTAGATGTTATCAAGAGTACTAAAACCCTTTTCAACATGAGTCTTAAAACTAAGGCTAAATACTTTAACTTAAACTTAAATACATGCTCGGATAGGCTGGTATCGGCCAGTATCGGTATCGGATCGGAAGTCCAAAAACAATATCGGTATCGGATCGGAAGTGCAAAAACCTGGATCGGGACATCTCTAACCTCTGGCCAAAGTGCAGATTTCTGATAACGCCGGTTATGTGCTGCAGTTTCCACAGGGATAAACGGCTTTTTTAGCTTCTTAAAAGTCACATTACGCGCCAGAAAATCCTTAACGTCATGTGAGCGCCTGATGTTTACGGTTTTTATGGCACTCAACAGCGTATTTATGCGGGTCGATGTAAATAAGTTTTTTTAAAACAATGTTGTGTTCACGATGTTATTGAAAATGGAGGAGGGAAAATACTTCTTTCTCTAAATACCTGGCTATGTGTAAATGTGGCTTTACACATCACGCTAGCACGGTTCATCGCCTCCTAGTGCTGATCCACAGTACTACTGCTCTCAAGAAGTAAAGAAGCAAACCAACATGGCGGCGTCGTAACATCGGGAGAGTCAGGTGAAGAAGGCAGCCTTAGGTGAATTCACTTTTGTCTAATCAGGGCTTACGGACGCAGGAAACAAAGACAGACGTTGAGGTTCCTCACACTGCTAAGCAGAATCATCACTGGAAATCGCATGGCTCGGTATGGAAGCCAGTATTTTTATGAATGTCTGAAATTTTATGATAACTGTGTCTGGCTGTAACCAGCAACAACTAGGTTTTCAACTACAGGTGCTGGTCATAAAATTAGAATATCATGAAAAAGTAGATTGATTTCAGTAATTCCATTTAAAAAGTGAAACTTGTATATTATATTCATACATTACATACAAACTCATATATTTCAGATGTTTATTTTGTTTAATTTTGATGATTACAAATGACAACAAATGAAAATCTCAAATTCATCATATCAGAAAATTAGAATATTACTGAAGACCAATAAAAACAAAGGATTTATAGAAATGTTGGCCAACTGAAAAGTATGAACATGAAAAGTATGAGCATGTACAGCACTCAGTATTTAGTTGGGCCTCCTTTGGCCTGTATTACTGCAGCAATGCGGCGTGGCATGGAGTCGATCAGTCTGTGGCACTGCTCAGGTGTTATGATAGCCCAGGTTGCTCTAATAGTGGCTTTTAGCTCTTCTGAATTGTTGGGTCTGGTGTATTGCATCTTCTTCTTCACAATACCCCATAGATTTTCTATGGGGTTAAGGTCAGGAGAGTTTGCTGGCCAATTAAGAACAGGGATACCATGGTCCTTCAACCAGGTACTGGTAGCTTTGGCACTGTGTGCAGGTGCCAAGTCCTGTTGGAAAATGAAATCTGCATCTCCAAAAAGTTGGTCAGCTGCAGGAAGCATGAAGTGCTCTAAAACTTCCTGGTATGTGGCTGCGTTGACCCTGGACCTCAGAAAACACAATGGACCAACACCAGCAGATGACATGGCACCCCAAACCATCACTGACTGTGGAAACTTTACACTGGACTTCAAGCAACGTGGATGAAGTGCCTCTCTTCTTTTCCTCCAGACTCTGGGACCTTGATTTCCAAAGGAAATGCAAAATTTACTTTCATCAGAGAACATGACTTTGGACCACTCACCAGCAGTCCAGTCCTGTTTCTCTTTAGCCCAGGCAAGACGCTTCTGACGCTGTCTGTGGTTCAAGAGTGGCTTGACACAAGGAATGCGACAGCAGAAACCCATGTCTTTCATACGTCTGTGTGTGGTGGTTCTTGAAGCACTCACTCCAGCTGCAGTCCACTCTTTGTGAATCTCCCCCACATTTTTGAATGGGTTTTGTTTCACAATCCTCTCCAGGGTGCGGTTATCTCTCTTGCTTGTACACTTTTTTCGACCACATCTTTTCCTTCCCTTCGCCTCTCTATTAATGTGCTTGGACACTGAGCTCTGTGAACAGCCAGCCTCTTTAGCGATGACCTTTTGTGTCTTGCCCTCCTTGTGCAAGGTGTCGATGGTCGTCTTTTGGACAACTGTCAAGTCAGCAGTCTTCCCCATGATTGTGTAGCCTATAGAACTAGACTGAAAGACCATTTAAAGGCTTTTGCAGGTGGTTTGAGTTAATTAGCTGATTAGAGTGTGGCACCAGGGGCCATCAATTTTGAACCTTTTCACAATATTCTAATTTTCTGATATGATGAATTTGAGATTTTCATTTGTTGTCATTTGTAATCATCAAAATTAAACAAAATAAACATCTGAAATATATGAGTTTGTATGTAATGTATGAATATAATATACAAGTTTCACTTTTTAAATGGAATTACTGAAATCAATCTACTTTTTCATGATATTCTAATTTTATGACCAGCACCTGTATTTTGGCTAAAATAAAATTGCAATTATTTTTAACCAGTGTTGCGGTGGCGATTTTATTGATTTTCTCCCTTCTTTTTGGTGGCTAACCCCCTTTAAGTGTACTGCCACCTAAAGGCCTGGAGGAAGAAATTTAGTGTCTTGCTCTTGTTAAATGTATACTGAGGTCAAATTCAGCGGCTGCGCCCATCGAAGGCCAGATTCGGCAGCCGATTATGTCACAGCGCAGCACTGAGGTCTATTCGGATTGGAAGATTCCTGGTTATGCTGCAGACTTATGCAGCCTTCTTTGGACGGGTCCGGCGTATCCTCCATAGCCTTCGGTATCCCATGATTAATTATGAGTCCAAGCAAGCCAGCTGCTCCGTGCTCAGAGTAAAAAGTAAAATGATGCCAAACAGTGGCAAATATTGGAAATGCAGTTTAATATAATTCAAGTAAGTGAACAGTTTAGTCTGAAATAATGAAAATATGTGAGTCAGATATGTGGCGGGTTTGGTTTATGGAAAGGTTTTATCTGTTCCTGTGCAAATGGGTTTGGCGGACATATAAGCTCAGATTATAATATCTCTACAGTGTGAGGATTAAACCCCTGCAAATGTAATTAGCACACAGAACAACAGTGAGAAGTTAAGCGTCCATTCTTTGCTCGTTTTTTGTCTCAACAGGCAACAGAGTGTACGGGCGGTGAAAGAAGGTTGGACCTGTTTGAATCCATAGCTGAACTCCTCCAGCCTCCTTATTTTCAGAGGACGCAGCCTCTGAAATCGAAAACACCCGTGATGTGACTAAAACTGAATTCCTCAAAATGCAGAATCCAATTTTGCATCCCATCAGACAGAAAATCGTTTCAGACAGCATTTAGCACTCATCAAGAGTCAATAAGGACTAATCACACCGAACACGATCTTCTGCGGGCGCGGGGGGGTGTTGCTTAGCTCTGACTCCGATAGAGGTCCAGGTCTATTTTAGTCCGACTGCGCTGATATTCAGCGGCACTTTAAGGCCAATTTATGCTTCTGACACATAGCCTCTGCAACCGTCAAATCTGTCTCTCTGGTGCTGCAACCGTCATCGCCCACCTAAAAAAAATCATAACTACGCGTCGGATGGTCGCAAACCCATGCAGACCTCAAGCGGAAGTGCGCAGTCTAAAAGCAGCTGTGAATGGTCCTTGGTATGCGTTTCTGGCTGTCTGTGTGGACGTCTTTCTCGATTCGGTGACGGGGAGCGGCATTTTTAAAAACCGAGGAACATCTACAATGGACAACTATGACGAAAGGTTAATCGAGGAGGTTCGCTCCATTGACTCCACAACACTCCCACAGGCGCCGCCGAAGTTCTCGTGACCATCCACTGAAGTTCCCGCAAGTTCTCGAATAGGCTCCCCCTTGCGCTTTGGCGGGAAACTGCTCTGCGTCCCTAGAAATTCCAGACCAACGGTGCAGAAGCATACCAGCAAAACTGGTTCGTGACCAGACTCAAGTGGCATTTCATGTGTGCGGTTGCAGAAAACTAATCTGCCCTTTACAGACAGTATGTTTATCTGTTTATTTTTTTTACCCTTGACTATTAAGTTATTTTTATACACATTTGTGTGACCATTTTCTTTGTAATTTTTTGCTGCTGTAACACCAGAATTTAATTTTGAATTGAAAAAAAACGTACTGGATGGGAAGCGAAACATCTTCACACTTGGAAACCAAGTCCGGTGAAATGTTTTTAACTTTTCTGAAATGACAATAAAGGCATTTTCTATTCTATTCTATTTTCATGGGTCTGACAGGTAGAGAGACGCTGTTATAAAGTAAAACACATTCTCTTTGGGGGAAAATACAAAATAAGATCTGTGAATCGCACGGAAGACAGGTTTGGCTGACAGACTCGTGCAAAACAATTAAACATGGAAAAAAAAAACTCACGATTTGTTTCTCGGTGTATTTGTTGGAGCTCAGCAGGTTGACGGCCTCCATGTGTCCAAAATCGATATCATGGCCCAGAAGGAAGATGAAGAGCAGCTTGCAGACATATTTCTTTTTACTGTATCCATCCAGAGCCTTGTCTCCTAGCAACACACAGGGAACATACCAGCAAAGACGACATTAATGGAAGCTCAATGCCCTCAGAGAGGCGAGGATTATATCTGTGCCTTAACATTTACATTTTCAATAAACAATAAACCTCCAACCTTAAATGATAAAACGATCAGAGCCTCAGCACACAGCTCGCCTAACAGTGAAACAGGCTTCTTTCCTTTTAAACAACAGCAGCAGGAAAACCAGCAGTTTGCATTAAGCTGCTGTAGACTCAAACTATTTCAGGAAGTTGGGTGTTTTTGTTTAGAAACAAAAAACAAAAATGTTTGCACCGAACGGAAACTCCAAAAATAGGTAATGAATGCTGACTTTATTAGTTAAAATGGTTTTATTGTAAGCCTGCAACTATCGATTTAATAATCAATTAATCAACTGATTCTTTTATTGATTCATAATTTTATCAAAAGGGAAACATTTTCTGTAAATTTACATTTATAATCAAATAAATGTTTGGAATTTAGGAGAAAAAACTTGATGGTGTATTTTATTTGAACTGTAAATGGCAAAAAGAAGTAACAAAAAAATAAAATACAATATATATATTTATAAAAGCACAATACAAAATAAAAAGAAAATAATATGTTCGATCTTTATCTGTTTCTTTCTATATTTTATATAGTATGACAGTGATATTTTCTTTGAAACTAATTTTAGAAAAAGAAACATAAAAACAAGTAGGTCAGTGTATCTTTTAGTAATTTGATTGAATGTTTAGAAAAGGATTAAGAAAAATAAAACAAACATGTGGCTTTTGGATTTTTGTTTTAAAATTAAATAAAATAAAAGCAAAACATTTTTTTTCTCTTAAAAAATGAATGAGCAAAAGTAATATGGGTACATTTCAATCACCAAAAAACGAAATTACATGAAAAAAAAAAACTGCCAAAAAAATCTTTTTCTTCTTTTTTTTCAGAGAATGGATTTTGTCCTTTGATAATAGAACTAAATGTTATGCAAATTTAAAAAAAAGGAAAAGTAAATAAAATTTCATCAGACTCTGTTATGATTATAGAAATGGAAAAACAACATCCACAGAAATCTCAGTACAGATGTAAGAAGTAGGTATTGAGAAGAAAGGTTACGATTTTTGAATCAAAGTTGATTAAATGGTCTGAATTTGTGCAGCACTTTATCAAGACTGAGGAATCCAAACATCTTCACACATTAACCTCGTCAACTCACAAGCTGATGATGGTTCTGATCATATCCACTGTAAGTTCATAACTATTACACATGGTACTGTTTAATTTACTAACCCGTGGCACAAAAGCTCGTCTTTGCTCAGAGCTCTGTTATTTAACTGTTGTTGTAGAGCATTCTCTTCAGCACTTGGTGTAAATTTCAGTTTTCAAACATATGCGCAAATGTAACTTTGCTGCGTTTACGCGCTGTTATGAGTCTTGTGCATTTATGCTATATTCTGACTGGATGATCTGATTGGATTAGATCTATAAAGATCTGAATTTTTGTTGCAAACATTTTTTTCCTCTCTCACTAATATCTGAATCCTGTCAGGTTCTGGTGCTCTTGTGAAAAAAGTGACCAAATGCTGTCGATAGAAAAGTTTCTGTTTTATAGTAATATCAGTTTTTGCTGATCAACTTAAAAAAAGGAACACAGTTTTCTAAATTACTCTTACTACTATGGAGAAGTAGGGCCAGGCTATTAGGGCTAGGCTAGAGATTTTTTTATTTTTATTTCGAGAATTAAGTCTTAAATTTACAAGAATAAAGTCGCAATGAGAATAGTCATAAAATTATGAGAATAAAGTCGCAAGATTAAGAGAATAAAGTCGTAACATTACAAGAATAAAATTGTAAAATTCCAAGAATAAAGTAAAAAAATTACAAGAATAAAGTCGCAAAGACAATAGCCATAAAATTACAAGAATGAAAAAATCTCTAGCCTGGCCCTTATACTCCGTCATACTCTCACTCCTTTTTGACACAGAAAAAAAAACAATAACTTGTATTTTAATGAACATTTATGTGTTTTAAGTAGCATTTTTTCTAAAAAAAAAAAAAAAAAAAAATCAAATGACCAAAACATGCACAGACCTACAGATTGTTATTAGCTTGTTTATTCATTATTCATTTTGGTTCAATAAACTAAAAACATTTTAAAAAATGACCTCATGTATTTTGTTTTTAATAAATGGCTTCAGAGGACCTGCCTGAATGCTCTCAGTCCTGAAGCCTGCGCTGCAAAGGCTTCCTGCAGCTGCTAACCTACCTTTAAATTTGGAGCGGATGTTGGCTAGCTCTTTGTTTATCCTCTTCACTTCTGCCTCTTTACTTTTACCTGCAAACAGGATAGAAGGATTAAAAACATTGTTAGCATAGAAGAAACAAATCAAACTGTCTGGGTTCTCTCTGGTTCGTAGTCCGAGTTCTGGGTCCATCCCCATTCCTAAGGGGTGGAACCATTCTTCTGGCTCAATTTGCATGTTTTCTAAGCCAAAACAAGGCTTTGCTTTTGGTCCACTCCATAAAGCCTTGAACTCAACACTATTTCTGACATTTTAAATTGAAAAAGCTTCCTGAATGGGAAGCAAAACGTCTTAAAATTTGGAAACAAAGTCCAGTGGATTGTTTTTTAACTTTTTTGGAACAATCTCAGACATTATAGGAAAACAGAAACTGTTTTCTTAGATAAAAATCAAAAGTCTTTCTTTAAAGACTGCCAACACCCTGTTTTAATATTTAATGATGGATCACATCACTAAAGGCCTTTAGGAATAGATGAATAATTTAGCTTCAAACCACAGCTGCTCCGGTACGCTTAATATTATGTGGAATGCCAGTGGATGGATTATTTAGGAGGCTTTAATATCTTATACGCCTCATTGCTTAAATATAAAACATGAATCCATTCAGTTCGACTTTTACTTTCAGTCATTTCATTCATATTAAAATGTACCAAGATCCTAAAGCTCAGAGAGGCTGGAGAATTAGAGCAAAAGAAGTGAGAAAAATTATGATAGCGACCGAGTCGACCTGTGTCTAAGCAGCCAGGTCGCATTCATCCGACCTGAACGCCATTAATACCCGACATAGGCCACTATTTTGGCTTGCCATGAAGAAGCGGCAAGAAAAACAACAACCATGGCGGATGATGATGCGAATAGCAGTACTTATGTTCTAACATCTTGAAAAATTGTGTTTTTATGGTTGGGAAAGAACGCTGGATGTGCTCCAGCGCTGCCATCCATGTTTACTTCCATAAACACAGAGCACGCTGGCCTGTGATGTCACTGCGTCCTCTACTGCGCCTGCAGGACACCTGCGTTGTATGACTGCCGTTCACAAAAGAGATAGCACACAATTCGCATATATTTGGAAATGTGAACAGCAACGAATAAAAAATTTGAATTTCCCAAAAAATAAATTTAATTGAGCATCAAGGCCTGAAGTTCGAATGTAGCCTAAGTAAGTCCATCAGACACGGCAGGCACTAGAAGATGAGCACATCAAGCTACACATGTAGAAGGAGAGCAGTTTAAGTTGTAGATGACCTTTGGGAAAAATTCATTTTCATGTGAAAATATTTTGATTTCAGGAGCGAGCTACTCAGACAGCAGGGAACGTGGAATCAAAGTTCAATTAACTCTGTCTGTACCTGTTATCAGTCAAATTCCGTTGGTTCAATCAACATTCATTAAGTGATTCGTTATGTTATGACCCTGACACAGCTCGAATATTTAGACCAGCGTACGTCTGGCAAGTTAAGTTATGGGTGCGCTTCTATAAGTTATGAGGAGCACGCTGAAACAAGCTGACACACATTGACATAGGCGAGTACGTCGAGACGTATGCCAGCATATGCTATACTTGGCCATAAGTTACAGGTCTGATCGTTGACATACGTTCAGTGTAAGTTACTCATAAGTCATGGTGTCTAGCTTATCCAAAACCTATGAGTAACTTGTGCATAACTTATCAAGAACTCCGACGCATATCAACGTATCTGACGTGTTCCAGACGACCTCTGAACATGTTTCTAACTAATAGCTCCTGGTTAAAGTCGCAGGGAAGCGGCCGTTCCAACTGTTGCATTTCCGAATTTTCCCGAGTGGAGCACGACTTTACACGAGTGAATAAAGTGATTGCGATTGGTCGTTTATCAAGGGGGCGGAATTGTTGTGGCGGAAGGTTCGCAAGCAATTTTTGTTGTGGCCGATTTCTCTGAAGCATCTTGCTAACCAGTTAGCATCTTAGCGCTAGTAGGTTTCCAATGGGAAATTCCATTGGGACCAAGTAGCACTAAATTGGTGACTTAGAAACAACACTGTCAAGGAACGCTATGGACAGAGGAAACATGCAAGAGGAGGAGAGTTTAGTGTCGGAGGTCGTGGATGAGTCTCCTCCGTCATCCATTTTTTATTTAGAGGAGGAAAGCGGGGATTAAGTTGTTGTGGAAGAGGACGCCAGGGCAGCAGAAGCTTGGTTTGGTGTAGAAGGCTTCCAGCCGTACATGTTTGAACCCTTGCCTCGCAACGCTGCCAGTTCTGTTAGCTCTACGCCTGCTGAAGACACAGACGTCCATCCCCGTGAACACTTGGACGGAACTCAATGGGAACGGAGATGATTCTGATTTCTGATTTTAACCGTTGCGTATATTAGCTGCAACATATGAATCAAGATGCTATGACCGAAAGAATTAGATTCACAGATGACCGTTGATATGTAATTGGCCGAATTCAGGTGTTCAGGCTGACGTATAATTAACTGGCCTGTATAAGATAACAGAAAAAAACAAAGATTTTAAGACAGGATTTTTTTTTAAAATAGAAATTCTCTAAATTTTGGGACAATATCATCTGATAAAGAGTAAATTTATATAAATGTTTAAGCCAGAATGATTTGACATTTAAATATGATTTCCCTACAACTTTAAGAAAAATAACAAAAGTACTTCTACAAGATATTCCTGGAAAACATTTACAGACTGAACAAAACTCTTTATTTTGCTAAAACATAGCCTTAATGTATTAATGCTGATACAGGGCACTTACATTTTTTTACTAGATTATTAACTTCTTATCTTATTAATTAGCTTTTTATCTTTTTTTTTTACTTTTTCACTTCTTTTCAACTTAATTTACAGTAGGTAATAAATCATTCAAGGGCTCATATAATTGGTCAAATGCAAAAATAACATGTAAAGCCATGTAGAAGTGTCTTTGCTGAAAGGCTGGATATAAAGAGTGTGTTTCTAAACCTTCCTGAGGGATGGGGCGACTCCATTTGTGATCAAAAACATTAAAAGGTTAAATGAAGTAAAAGAGATATTCTGTCCTTTTCAGTTCAGTTTTATTTACCGATATCTGGCTCTGTAACCAGGAGGACTTTAATCTACAAGTAGATTCTGTTATTTTCAATTACTATTAAAAAACATCACTTCCTTTACAATAAACAACATTGTTTTGTTGTTTAGAAGAGTCTTTAAAGAAGAGCGGTGATTTTCTAAAGCCGGAATCAGAGTCAGACCTTCACAACAATCACCATTACTTCTCTGTTGTGAAACCAAACAAAGGATGTGTTGATGAAACAGGAAAACCTTGGTTTAGGTTTGGGAAACAGCTCAGGATCTAAAGCTTAAAGGCCGTCTGAAAACCCACCATCAGGGATAATTAGCAGGTTTTAACCACTGATCTCTATTTATTCACTGGATTGCTGATTGCCCCAAAAACATGAAGCCACCGTCTACCATGCTGGTTCTCCCCACTCCCACTCCCACACACATTCAAAATGCCTACACCTGTAGCATTTGGCTGCAAAAACAAGCAGTTTTCCGGCTGTGGGAAGATGTTCCACAACATAAACTAACCGGGAAAATCCACATATACACCGATGTATCCTATAGCATGTAGCGTAACATTACACTGGAAAAAATGGAAATCTAGATAAGTATTTTTTTGTTAAAATAAGTGCATTTGTTCCTGAATTGAGGAGGTAAAAGAGACGTTTTGCCAATTGAACAAGACAATTTACATTTAAAATAAGAAAAAACAATTTCAGTGTCTCATTTCAAGTGCATGTTTTCTAATTATCTTATTTTAAGAGTAAAAATTCTCATTCACTTGGCAAACTATCTTATTTACTTACTCAAATTAATGTTAAATACACTTAATTTACTTAATTCTGGATCGTTTTTCCAGTGTAGTCTGGCTATTTTGGACTGATAAAAGTTATTGACTGAATTAGCCATTTACATTGTGTCCAACGTAAGAAAACAGAAAGTAGAGTAAATAGAAAGTAATTTACAGTGAAATGTCAATGTAGTAATTCATTATTAAGCGGATGACACTGTCGTTTTTGTAGCATTTGTTGTATTTCTCATTTGAAAAAATCATGTGCTAAAATATATTGCATGTTATATTGCATTTGAACCTAGCTCCTAGCTGTCTATAAGTGAGAAGTGGGGTCCACCCTGGAAAGGTCTCCAGTCCATCACAGGGCAACACAGAGACAAACAGGACAAACAACCATTCACACACACACACACACTCACACCAAAGGGGAAATTAGATAAGCTAATTAACCTAACAGTCATGTTTTTGGACTGTGGGAGGAAGCTGGAGTACCTGGAGAGAACCCACACATGCTCAAGGAGAACATGCAAACTTCCTGCAGAAAGAACCTGGAACCTTCTTGCTGCAAGGCAGCAGTGCTACCCACTGCTCCACTAAGCAGCCCTTTCATGTTATGCTTTATTAACTTAACGTTATTGTGATGGATTTATATAATGTGTTATATTACATGACTTATAGACTTCATACTGACTATGCAATGTGATGTGCCTATATATTTATTATAAGTTGAAGTAATCTATTGATGCTATGAAACAGCCAGTGAGTGTCAAAGTGATGGATTTATCTTTCTTTTAAAAGTCTTAACTCCCCCTGAAAATGAGAACATCATCGTTGTTCGATGCTGTAGCGCACAGATTGTTTACATTGCGACCGGTCTATCTAGGGAGTACCAATATGGCGGCCAGTGGCTTCACTTCAACCCCACACCTACAACGGGTAATCAGCAATCCAGAGAATAAACAGAGATGAGTGGGTTTAACTGATGTCTTAGGAGATGAGGAGGAAACTTTTAATTACTTTTCTGTTAAAACTTCTTTACAGGACATCAATTTTTAACAGAAAACTATGAGGTAGACACTCCTGATGAAACACCCTGACTTTAAACTAGTAACTTTAGTTTCCCGAGAAATTCACCAGTTTTTATCTGCAGGGAGCGGTTCGGTTCACGCCCTGAACGCAACATTAGCCGCTGGGAGCTAACGGCTAACTAACGCTGTTGGAACAAACACACAGTCCAGCAATTAGTCTCCCCCCCTACTAACACCTGCTCTAATGACCCCGGTAGATACACCGAGCCGCCGGAGTCCGCCGCCGCCGTTACAGCGGCTGCTGTGGGTTAGCTTCAGGTTGAAAACAAACTCACAGTTCCTGATGTCTGAGATGAACACGGCAAGTCCACGCATTCCATCTCCTTTAGAGACCGTGGGCATTTTGTCCACTCCGTGTCGATGCGAGCTGTCTGTGTGACTGATAATGACACCTCAGCAACAGGAAGCAAGTTTCTAACTAAGTTGTTTTGGTTCAGTTAACTTCAGTCTGAGCAGGAGCTGCTCTACAGGAACCAGACGGACTGCGGCTGCGTCCCTTTAGCGCAGGAAACACCCCGCGCGCGGCTGCGTCCCTTTAGCGCAGGAAACACCCCGCGCGCGGCTGCTGCGCTCCGACCGTCTGGAAGTCCTTCTCACCGTCTGCGTTCGAAAGAGTAGCAGGTTGACCAGACTCCAGCACGGAGGAAATCTGGTTTCATTACTGCAAGTTTTTGACATCTGACAAAACAAAAATAGGTTTTTTAACTTAAATAAAAAGGCAAAGATGAATCTAAAAAAAAAAAAAAAACTTTTTAAGAGTAAGTTGTGTTTTCTCAAATCTTATTTTTTATCGTCTTTTACTATTAAAATTACGAGTATTAGGGCCAGGCAAGAGATTTTTTTTTTCAAGAATAAAGTCGGAAAATTACGAGAATAAAGTCAGAAAATTACATGAATAAAGTCATAAAATTACTAGAAAAAAGTTGTTAAATTACGAGAATAAAGGCGCAACGACAATAGTCATAAATTTACAAGAATAAAGGCATAACATTGCGAGACTTAAGTCATAAATTGTGGGAATAAAGTTGTAATTTACGGAAAAAAGTCACAACAAAAATAGTCATAAAATTAAGAGAATAAATTTGTAATATTATGAGAAAAAAGTTTTAAAATTACGAGAATAATGTCGTAAGTTACGAGAATAAAGTCATTGAATTACGTGAATAAAGTCGTAAGTTAAGAGAATATAGTCGCAACATTAAAGCTGCAGTCTGTAACATTGAGAAGAGAGCAAACTTCGACTGAAAATTTGAAGAAAAACAGGTTTCACGCCACTCCCCCACCCTCTCTGCTTCACTCATGCCCCACCTCCAAGCTCCACCCGTCTCACAGCACCTGCGCAGCTACCGCATGCGACCAGAAGCGTCCAAGCAGCGTACGCGGCATGGAGTGTGAACCGGTAAGAGCGATAACACTCACCTCCAAGCAGCTAGATATAAGATGCTGGTTATACCGACGTTTGCCGTGTAAGCAGTTGTCGGCAGGGGCAGTAAGGGCAGTTTCTCTTTCGCTGCTGGCTGTCGCTCCGCCATGACTTCCACGCGCGTCCTCCTGACTGCGGCAGCCGGGCGCTGCGGCAGGTTAAGCGGTGGGTGGGGGGGAGCTGTGATTGACACTCCATCAGTCGCTCCTCTGGCTGTGATTGGTTGTTTTGACTCGTCCCGAATTATTCTTTCCAGATTGAAATACAGGCAGTAGGCGGTACCAATTGAAGCAGTTTTTTCCACAGGTTACATATCACATGTACTGCTGTCTGGGCATAGGGACAGTTTTAGCCAATATGACAAAAAAGAGATTTTTAAAAACATACAGACTTCAGCTTTAAGAGAAATAAAGACGTAAAATTACGTCAATAAAGCCATTAGTTACGAGACTTAAGTCGCAACATTACGAGAATTAAGTCGTAAAATTACAAGAAAAAAGTCACAATGAGAATAGTCAGAAAATTAAGACAATAAAGTTGTAACATTACGGGCATAAAGTCGTAAAATTAAGAGAATAAAGTCGTAACATTAAGAGAAAAGTAATAAAATTACGACAATAAAGTCGTAACATTAAGAGAATAAAGTTGTTAAATTACGAGAATAAAGTCGCAGCGAGAATAGTCATGAAATTCCAAGAATAAAGGCATAACATTACGAGAATGAAGTCATAAAATTATGAAAATAAATGACTATGACCTGGATGACTGAGAATCTTCATCAGCACGTTGACTTGCGTTATTGCACTTGCAGTGCAGAACTGTACTGACCATATAAATAGGCGAAAATTATGCAGACTACACAGTAGTTAAATGTAAAAATATAAAATCTGTGCAATATATATATATATATATATATATATATATATATATATATATATATATATATATATATATATATATATATATATATATATAATTCTGAAAAAAAAAAACGGGGAAAAGATTAAAATACACCAAAAGACATTTTTAATAGAAAACTTAACAAAGATTCTTAAAACCATTATTTGGTCAAAACGAGACTGCAACCTTTTATAATTTCACAAAACCCTCTTACAGCCCTAAATGTCTAATAACTTTTGAAAAAAAATAAAATGTATAATTTCTTTATTCATATCCATGACAGAAAGTTGTTGACATTTTTAATAAAGTGTCATTTTTTTACCAAGCATGCTTGAAGTGACAGTGGAGAGGAAAAACTCCCTTTTAACAGGAAGAAACCTCTCAGATATAGCTGAGTATCATCAGCATAACAGAGAAAATTAATCCCATGTTGTCCCATAATTCTACCGATTGGGAGCATATATATAGTAAAGAGAATTGGTCCTAGCACTGATCCCTGTGGTACTCCACAGGTAACCTTTGAGCATGTTGAAGATCTATCATTAACATGAACAAACTGAAATCGATCAGATAGATAAGATTTAAACCAGTCTAGTGCTGTACCTTTAATTCCTACAAAATATTCAAGTCTTTCTAAAAGAATATTATGGTCAACTGTAGGGATGGGAATCGAAAACCGGTTCCTGTTCAGAACCGGTTCCGTATTTTCCGATTCCATGGCATCATTTGGCAGCTCGCTGAACGATTCTTTTTTCGATTCCCGCAGCACCAGAGCCTAGAGCGCCGGCTATGGGGAGCACGACTTACGTCACGTTTTTTACGTAAGTTACGCAAGTTACGCAAGTTACGCAAGTTGGAAGAACTATTCGAGGAGGAAGTCAACGAGCTGCGGTCACTTTGTGAATCAAAGCCCCGTCTTTCCTTAGCCCAGAGGGTACATCAGGAAATCCAGCTCTATAAAAGCTTGCCCTCCATCCCCTGCAGGGATAGCGCCACACTGTGGTGGTGGAAGAAGCAAGATACGCTGCCCTTGCTATCTGGACTGGCTGAAAACTACCTCTGTGTGCAGGCTTCCTCCACCCCATCTGAGAGGGGGTGTGGAGACACCTTAAGCGCTGAAAGATCCCGTATCCTTCCAGAAAAAGCAGATATGCTCATCTTTCTGCAAAAGAACTGTTAATTTTCCATACTACTGTTTTATAATTAGTATTTTTTTTTATTTAAAATAGGTTATTATCCCATCATTTGTTATTAGACATTGTTGGTTATTAAGTTTGTTCTTGTATTCATTTTTCATTTAAACACAGATGTTACTCCAGTTTCACATTTCCTGTGGACATCTTGATCTTGTTGAGTTTGTAAGATTGTGCAATAGTTAAGTAAACAAAGTTGATTCTGATAATCAAACTGTTTGTTCTCCTTTTTCCCCCAAATTGGAATCGAAAAAAGAATCGATAAAGAATCGAATCGTTTCATAGAATCGAAAAGGGAATCGGAATCGTGAAAATCTTTTCAATTCCCAACCCTAGTCAACTGTATCAAATGCAGCACTGAGATCCAACGGGACAAGTACAGATACAAGTCCATTATCTGAGGCCATGAGAATATCATTAGTGACTTTCACCAGAGCTGTTTCAGTGCTATGATGAGCTCTAAAGCCAGACTGAAACTCTTCAAAAAGTTCATTATGGTTTATGTGATCGCACACTTGTTTAGCAAGTGATTCCTCAAAAATTTTAGATAAGAAAGGAAGATTGGATATAGGTCTATAATTGACCAAAACATCTGGGTCAAAAGACATTTCTTAAGTAAAGGTTCTTACAGATTTCATCATCGTTGATTAGGAAATCAGTTTGTGCTTTCTCCAAAAAACGTTCACATCCTTCTTTTAAATTCAAAGATATGAATGATTGAAAGTGAAACATGGATACATACTAGCTCATGCTAGATTAATGCTAGTCTAATGCTAGATTACAACCAATTCTGTTTAAGGTCATACATAGATTATATAACTCGGAGGTCAAATAAGATCCCAAAATTCTCCTGTATATGAAACATTTAAGAGATCAGATTGCATTCTATCAGCAATTTTAATAATACTGTGAGTTTCATAATTCCTGGGATTTGAACTTTAAGTAAAACTCCAATGCATTTAAAGTAAACCTGCATCCAAATTCTGAGATTGAATTATTTGGCTCCTCCAATATTTTGCACAATATGGGTAGAAATATTATACCCTCTGTGTCCCATGATATGATCATAGTGTAGAGATGTCTTTTAAATATGCGGACATCTGAGTCACCACCTAAGTAAGTTCGAGACCTAGATGGTAGGAATGCTTCCTATTAAAACTGAGAAATGACTGACACATTTCAGAAATTCAGTGTGGTTTGGGACCTACTAGTCTGGAGTGAATTTTGATCCATTATTGCTGCAAGCAAAGAACGTGCTTTGTAAATTGAAAGTTGAAACTTTGCTCTAATCTCTGATTTTCTTAATAGCTGTAATAACAAACTTTCAGTTTTGATCAAATTTGGCTCTACCCAGTCTGGTAGATTGGCTCTGGATGATGAATAGTACTGAGGTAATGAATCCAACTGTAGTGAAACAATAACGACGATGTTGAAAATAAACGTTTAACTTAAGTTTTGTCCCGTATTAATGCACCACATAGTGCAGTTGCTCAGTGCAGTTGCTTAGTGCAGATGAAACAGACCCCCTTGGGCCAAGACAGAGGTGTCATTCAACTAGTTGTAAGTTGACATATAATCACAAAAGTTGTGAAAATATTTTATGAAGGTTGAAAAGTTACTTATTGTTGTTTTAAGGAAGTATTCCCTCTGATCTCCTCCTCCATTTTAAATGTGATTAATCTATCCCTGTTACAGGGGTATGTACCTCAGGCTTTTAAGGGTGCTGTAATTAATCCATTACAAACAAAACTGTCTCTAGGCCCAGATGACTTGGTCAATTATAGACCTATATCCAATCTTCCTTTCTGATCTAATATTTTTGAGAAAATAGTTGCCAATCAAGTGTGTGACCACTTAAAGGCTGGTTATCCTCCACCAGCAGTGTGTCGCAGTGAGCTTGTCACAGATATTTTTGATTTATGCCCAATATTGAAGCATGGTCTGCGCTATGTTGTTACACACCACAATGCAAGAGGGACAATAAGGAACTAGCTGTGGGTCTAGATATGGCCGAGGCGGTGAGG